TAGATTTCTGATGAAAGGAATCTTTAAGTGGTAGTGAAGTAGTTGATTACTTACGTACCATGATTCATCCACTATCGATCTTAGCACTTAGCACTAGACTGAAAGCTTTGGATGATATTTAGCGATTTTGGATTTGCACATCCCCATAGATGTAAACCTAGTATCACATAGGTTTGAATATGGCTTTGTACAGAAGAATTTTGTTTTGGATGTTGACTTTTGATTTACATCCAAGGAGCCAATACATTTGCCGGAGTTTTAAGTCAAGCTGTCTTCTTTTGGTCTGAATATGTTTCTTCCAAGTGAGACGTTGGTCAAGTTGAAGGCTAGAGTATCTAGCGTCTGTTTCTATTGGTATTCTTATATTGCCCATTCTTACAGTCTGGCTTGTGTTGTAAGTCGGTAAACGGTATTTGAGTTGATTTTGTTTTTTCTTTTAACTTTGGTTTACCATTGTGTGTACTAATCACTGAATACGTTCAGATGGTGCTGCAGGTTTTGTGAGGCTTGTACGGGATCTTCATTTACAATTGCTACGTGATCAGCAAAGGAAACGATTGTAGTATTTTTAGTTTCTGGTGTATCGGCTGTGTAAAGTGAGAAAAGCGGGATTATGGTAGCAGACAGAGACCCTGCGGAACTGCAGAGTTGATAGTACAGAGGTTGGATTGTTGGTCATTGAATTTTACAGAGACATATCTAAACAGAGAAATAAAGTATTTCTTTTCACTTTCTTCATATTTCGTTTATCATTCGATGTAATTGGGTAGTGGAGTGATTTTTCTGAAAACAAAATTGATATTTTGGTAGTAATGTTAAAAAATCATAACCTGCGTATATCCTTCGTAAGAGCAATCTTTCAAAACTTTGCTTACGGTTGAGAGTAGGCTGATGGACCGATAAGATTTTACTTCATTGGGGTCTTTTCCTGGCTTAAGAATCATAATGATTTCAGCGAATTTCCATATTTTTGGAAAGTATGATCAGCTTAGCATACGTTTAAATATAACTGTTAGCATAGTAATGGTCTTGCAAGGAAGTTATTTTAGTACCTGTGCCGAGATTAAATCATAACCAACAACCTTTGTTTATTTCTTCCTTTCTTGAATTCTATAGTAGTAAAACTTTTGATCGGGAGCAACATTTGACATGCTACGCTAATTGGTTCTTCTACTTCTTCATCAAGATCAGCTGGCTTGTTTTGAAATACGTTTGTAAGATGTTCAGCGTTCAGATGTTCAGATGTCCGCTTTTTCCTGTTGGAACCGGCCCATTCGCCATTTGATTTACGGATTGAAGGGATAGTTGTGTATGGGTTCTTAAGCTTCTTAATCGCCGTCCATAAAGTCTGGTCATTTGCTGTAATGTTTGTAATATAATGTTCGAAAGTTTCGTTATTTGCGGCTTTAATATATGTTGATCTATGTTGTTTCTAAATCTTAGCCAGGTTCTCTTCGCACGACGTTTTTCAACAATGAGTTGGTGAATGTACAGGGGAACATTTATGGTATATATTGTATAGGTTTGCCTTCAGTTTGTGGTATAGATTACCATGCCGCTTTTTGCACAAATGTGGTAAATTATTGAGCTGCCGAATTTATGCCATGTGGAGACTTGATCCGCAGATGAGGATTGGTGTTTTCTTCTTCTAGTTCATTCAGTTGAATGAATGTAACCGATAAATAAGAATATAAATAGAGAAAGACGAAGTGCGTTTGGCAACAAAAAACAAATATTGTGTATTTGAAACTGAAGCCTAAAACTAGCTCAAATGTTAAAAATCTTATGGAAGGACAAAATAACTAACCAAGTAGTACAGGACAGGATCAATAAACAAAAAAAGTTTATATTTACAAATAAAATGAAAAAATTACAATACTTGCGACATGCGACGAGTTGTTACACGTGGACAGAAATATCAACTGTTACAAGTGATTATGCAGAGAAAGATTCAGAGGTAACCGCAGAATATGATGGAGAAGAATGTCTCGGTTGAAAAACTCCAGGGAATGGTACTCTTGCACTTCTATGTAGCTGTTCCGGGCAGCAGCCTCCAGCGTAGGAATAGCCATGATGATAGCCCAAATTTCATAGAGACTTGGCACATAAAGAAGAATTAGTTGATCTTAACAAATATTAATAGAGACTACAAAGGTCGTAGATTTTCTTCATTCAACTTTGTACGGTCAAAATATTCATAATTTATAATTTTTAAATGCATAAACATTGTTTAAAAAATTATTTTGCATAAAAATTATATTAAACTATAAATATTTTGATTGTGAAAACAAATTTATATAAAGAAATAGAACGATTTGTACAGCTCCTTTACGTAATTTTCAGAAACTTTAAAAGGCTTTTTCCGATATCCCATAAGAAGATTTCCTACTCATTTTTTATTAATAGCACAAGTAATTATGGCATTAATATAAAATTTCATTACAACATATTTAATGCAAATTAATTTTTTTCGTAGATATGGTACTTTTAGAGATATTTAGGATTAAAATCAAAAAACATATAAATTTTTTAGAATCTAAATTCCGGCAGACTGCAAGCAACTTGCCATTTTTGTACAGATTATGACTGGACTAAAAACCCTCTAGACATCGTAAAAAATTAAACTAACTAATCAAAAGATTTCATGTTCCTAAGTTTAATATTTGTTTCATTTTTAAAGTAATTAGTAGGTTTAGTTATAAAAATATTAATTAAAATAAGTACTACAAAATAGCAAAAAGCACTTTTTGACTAGTAAACAAAATGTGACAGTTTAAAAAATTGTCCGTTAGCTGTTCATTATTTATTTACTCTATACCTATCTACCTAATCAGGATATTGTAATTTATGATACCCTGCTTCGTCAAATGGCACGCTAAATTGTTTGATCGAACTGACGATTTGTCTTTACTGTTAAATCTTAATTTTATAATTTTTAAATAAATATATTTCATGTTGTGACGAACTATGGGAGAAGATTACTAATAGCTTGGTACGCCTTTTCCTAGTACTTAGTAAAAGTCACAGGAATCATGTGTTAACAGTCAACGGGTATAATTTATTATCACCCCCACTGATTTTTATCATAATAATGCACGTTCAAATCTATTCGTTACCTTCTCCTCTGTATTTAGCTGTATTTGTTGCATTTATCAGAATGTTAACATTATTCATGCATGAATTTTATGATTTGTATAAAGTTTATAAAATAAAAGCCCATTTGCAAAAAAATATTTGATCCAGTTATCAGTTTTATGGTAAGTATTATGATTTGGTTTTATAGTGTGGAATCAATGTTAAGGAATGAACAAGCCAGCTTAAGAGTAAACGGATCATACTTAGTCCAAATTAACACAGGGTAATCGCAGAATAGTCAAAGGAATTCAACTTTCCACTCTTCATATTATGCTTTGAGGTTTTCAAGGGAGCCTTCGACATGCTCACATATATAGCCATATGGAAAGCATTACAGGAAATAGGAATATCAGAAAAAATATTAAATCTCATCAAAGAACTGTACAGTGATGCAGAAAGCCAAGTTCTACACAATGACATAACGTCTGACCAAATAGCTGTGCTAAATGGACTAAAGGAGGACTGTGTTTCATCCTCCCTACTGTTCAACTAAACTCCGTACTAACAAAGGTACACTCCAATAGAGAAATTTAATGGGGATTAACAAACTGGAAGATCTAGATTTCGCTGACGATACGCCTATTAGTACATATAAAAAAGGATATGTAACTCCAAGTAAAAAGATTACAAGAAGAATCAAAGAAGGTTGGTCTATAAATAAACATCAACAGAACCAAGGAAATGAAACCAACCAAAAACCTGTCATAAGGCAAATAAGGCAGAGAATCTCTCAGAATCTCCAAGAAGTGGAATCCTCAAGGTCTACTGAAAGTAGACAGACCTAAAAAAAATATTTCTCTACTCCAGGTTCAACATAACTTCCTTTAGAAACTCTCGATGACATTGGAGTGGATATGATACAAAAAATTTGGTTAAGGGTATGGGAGATGAAGATTCATGCAGTAATTATTGCACAATATTACTCTTACATACTCTTATAATACTAGAGAAGATAAAACTATTTTTACTATCAGAAGTTTTGATAACACAATTAAATGTACGATAGATTATGAAAAAGTCGAGGGAGTTCAACTGGAACTGCAGGAAGATGTCACAGATTTGATCTGAAATGGTAGTGTTGCAAAACTTGATACAACTAAAATGGATATAAGTAAATATTTTAATGTATCTAAAAAGTACTCCCTTGGTTAATTCATTGTTATAACTAAACTGGAAATATTGCCCAACAACTTCGAACTGGAAGGCTAAGAACTACTACGTTCCTCCAGAACCGTTGCATCGCTTAAAGAGCAGCAATCTAAATCAATAAAGACGTACCCAATCAAGACGTTTTAAATTTCGACAAGAACTGAGATTTCAGTAACTCTTAAGATTGAAGTCAATTTGAGATCAAAATATTTTTTAGGAAGAGTTTTTCACATCTGACATAAGCTTGGCATGAACTCTGTAACATCTAAAGTAGGAAGAAGAATTAAAATCTGTACTCTTTATTTATTCTGTAAATCCCATAAGATTAAACTCAGTTTATTACGTTGAAGGAAATGGAGAAGTTAAGAAATAGCCCTAAAACTCAAAATAAATGGAGTTGATACGCCTGTTTGTATTATGAATGGAAATTACGCCTCTGAAATACGCCTGAAATTTCATATCAATGTACTCTCAATATATAAACTCTGATAAAGGAAATAACCGAACCAAAAAATAAGAGAAAATTAGCAGTGCAAACGCATTTTAAATGGGCCTTTAACATTACATTCTTTTTTCTTTCAAAACAAAATATCAATGTTTATCAACAAAAAATTATGCTTTTTTTGAAAATATCTATGAATTTGAGCATTTTTTTTTAAATGTCCCACATAGGACACTTTCAAGGCCACTTCATTACTAAATCTACTATATAAAATTTAATTTTTCGATCTAAATGAACCAAGCCTACTAGTCACAAGTCCTTGATTACTTTTTGTAGCACTAGATGCCGTTGGTTTCATAAAGCTCATGGCCAATGGTCGCGGTGGCCTATTTCCGGCGTTATTGCCGTTGGAGTTGGTCCGTTTTAGATTAACCTTGGACGGGGAAGATATTGTCTTGTTGCTAGGTATTCTCTGGATTGGACGAGAAACATTACTACTAGTATTTGGTTTAAGAGGTAACTTTTTGACGGTGCTAGTAGAGGTGGCACTGTTCAGGGAACTTCGGGAACTAACGATAGAGTTCCTAAAAAATTAAAAATATTACATTTAAACAATTATTTAATTAACTAATATATAGCTAAGATAATTAGCTGAAATTTTATGAAACATAAAGGGCTAAGAGATAAAACGATAAAACATAAAAACTATAGGTTCATTGTTACTTATTTCGAAGTTAGGCAGCGAAAGATTTATAATCGAAATTTTTTTGAAAATTGTTAATAATTATCAACTGTAGGGTTAATACCTCGGACCGATTCGTACCTCAGGTCAGTCCCTTTTACTCTTTACACACTGTTAATATTTCTTCGCTTTTGCTAAATAAGTAGTTCAAAAATGAAGTCGGTAGATGACAGCTCTATACTCTAAACAAAAATTGCGCGGTGATTTGTAGAATGTTTTTCTTGATGGTAAGTAAATTATTTAATTATTTACTATGGTTGTTTGCAACGTGTTCGCCAGGAGATCTGGAAGACGGTCTGAAGATTCGATGTTGCTGCTTATTTAGACTACCCAGGGTCAACACGAAGAGGCGAGACAGCTTTACACCTCAGGTCTCTTTCTTAGGCGCCGAGAATGGAGTAATCTGATAGTCCAGGCTGTGAGGCCGCTCCCGTTGGGAAAATGTTTCTGATTCGGTTTCTTCGCGGATTCCGGTTCAAAAATGTCCCCTTTAAACAAATCTGAAGGGTGCCGGGCGAAGTTTTTGGGCAGAAATTGTTTAAACAATTTTTTTTAAACAAATTCCAAAAATATTTTTTTTAATCTGGAAAACGTTTTTTAGGTTTCTTGGGTCATTTTAAACAAAAAAGGTCTCTTGTCATTTTTCTCTAAAGTTGATAGTTTTCGAGTTATAAGCGATTTAAAGTCTGAAAAACGCGAAAATACGCATTTTTGAGGCTTTAAAACACATATGTAAATTATTATTTTTGAGGTTACCAAGTGTCTAAATTGAAGTTTAAACATTCAACTTCAAGATTGTGAAGAGTAATCGGGGCTTATTTTAATTTAGACCGTTGTTTTTTAATTGTTAAATATGCGCGTACACTCGATTTTTCAGCCGCCGCGGCGCGGCGCGCTTGAGTGCGCTTCTATCGTACTTATGCATAGTTTACATATACACTTACGCAAAAAAACCCGAACAAATCCTTGAAGTTTATTAACATAGTTTTTTCCATAATTTATTTATGTAGGTATTAATTATTGTCATTGGGCTAATTAAATAAATCAATCATCGCAATGTAATAACCGTATATAGTTTTTTTTTCTTCCAAATTTGAACAATATAATTATTATTTATTGAGTATATATTTATTTATATCAATTGTAAATAATATTTTTAAATTATTATTTAAATAATACAATGCAGTAAATATTAATATTAGAAAACTTAATTTTAAATTGCGCGGTGTTTAAAAACAATATACTATCGCAAAAATGCAAGTTTTTACCTGTTTAACAATCGCGCGCTCATACTTGATTTGTTATTACTTAAACGATCATTAGTAAGACTATTGTTTAATGCCCATTAAAAGGGTATTATATTATTAATGTGTTATTAAAAAAATTGTGAATGGATTTAAAATGTCTTTTTCCGTACCTCTTCTTAAATGAAAACTTACCGAAGAAAATTTAGTTTGTATTTTTTGTAATAACATCAACAATATTAAGTTAGTGCAAAAACCTACCCAAACAGCACAAGTACGTCCCATGGACGTCCAAAGGATGTACCTCATTAAATGTCCGGACATCCCACGGACATCCGTTTACATAATTTGGACGTCCCCGGGACGTCCAATAAGAACTAAATGTTACCAAAAAGTACGTCCCCTGGACGTCCCAGGGATGTTCATGGGGACGTACATAGTACATATACAGAACTTAATACGGACTTATATAGGACCTAAGAAGGATGTATTGGGGACATCTATTGTACGTCCACATGGACTAATATAGGACCTAAATGAGGATGTATACAGGACCTAAAGGGAACTTAAAATTAATAAAATGAAAAGCAAAAATAAATGGGATTTTTATTGTGTACTTATATTAACATATGTATTTAAATTTATAGTATTTTTTAAGCACATTACTTCTACTTACTTTACAAATGTAGCAACACACCACAACCACAAAAATTACCTATAAAAGTCCTATATACCTACTTAATGTCTATAATAATAAATTACCAAACTATAAACTAGTATCGAAAGCAATAAACTAATTCTAATTACAACCACAACCACAATGATTATAATTCGAGAAATAAACGAGATAAATAGAAGCGTCGTTAAAACATAACCACATTCTTCTTTTATCTCCTAATTTTTAAATTTCAGTTCCACTACAGAACAAAATTTTAGAGATACAGCTCTGCTATAGGATAAAGATTTTTCTCTAAAAGGAGCCTCTGTCTGTTTTCGTATAAATTAATGGTATTTAAAACTAAATATAACTTTTTAAAATAAAGTTTAGTAGGAAGATTATATTTTGTTAAAAATATGCTTAAGTAAAAAAATGACACAGTTAACACCTAGAAAACGTCCCTAATACATCCCTAATGGGACGTCCCTTGGACGACCTTATGGGACGTCTCTGGTATGTCCGACTAGAAATATCCCTTGGACGTCCCTCGGACGTCCAAAAGAAGTCCCGGGACGTTTGGACCTTAAAACGACATAAAATGGACGTCCCAGGGATGTCCTGTGCTGTCTGGGTAAAGTAGATTTTTACATAACAATACAAAATGCTGCTCTTCGACGAAAAGTTAGTGTGACTGAAAAATTTAATTTAATCTAGCCAATATACCTTGTACCTCTGACGCACTTTACCAACGCTTGTTAAGAGCTTTCGCTAAAACATATATTTGGCGAAATGCCATATATTGCCGCTATCAAACTCTCGATTTTACACAATATGGATATTATATGTCTGATAGTGGTGGGTTGGGAAACTGTGCAAATGCAAAAAGACTTGCAAAACTAATGCTTGCAACTGCAAGAAAAATCATGTCAACTGTGTACCATTATGTGGATGTGATTTAGATTTTTGTGAAAACAAAGATACTTTTACTGAGTGATATAAGTGTGTTATTTAACAATCTTTTGTACAATTATTTTATGTAACTATTATTAGACTTTAGACGAAATTTATATTATAGCTCAATTGATATAAATAAATATATACTCAATAAATAATAATTATTTGTAAGTATATGTAAACTATGCATAAGTACGATAGAGGCGCACGGTAGCGCGCGGCGGCTGAAAAATCGAGTGTACGCGCATACTTAACAATTAAAAAACAACGGTCTAAATTAAAATAAGCCCCGATTACTCTTCACAATCTTGAAGTTGAATGCTTAAAATTTGATTTAGACACTTGGTAACCTCAAAAATAATAATTTACATATGTGTTTTCAAGCTTCAAAAATGCGTATTTTCGCGTTTTTTAGACTTTAAATCGCTTATAACTCGAAAACTATCAACTTTAGAGAAAAATGACAAGAGACGTTTTCGTTTAAAATGGCCCAAAAAACCTAAAAAAACGTTTTCCAGATTAAAAAAATTATTTTTGGACTTTGTTTAAAAAAATTGTTTAAACAATTTCTGCCCAAAAATTTCGCCCGGCACCCTTCAGATTTGTTTAAAGGGGACATTTTTGAACCGGAATCCGCGAAGAAACCGAATCAGAAACATTTTTCCAACGGGAGCGGCCTCACAGCCTGGACTATGAACCGACTCAGAGTAGGTCATGGTGTATGCAATAAATCACTTAACTAATGGGGTATTACAGACAACCCACTATGTGACAAATGCAATGCTACCGAACCAACAGTTCTCCATATCACCAAAGAACATACGATTCGAAGGTAGTTTAAACGAAATCCATGAACTAACTCATGAGGCAATGGAATGGTTCAACGGTAGCAATATATGGCTTTGTAACAATCATAATTCCAATAATCCCAACAGAGACATAGAAGAAGAGTGTATGTTTTGTGGTGAATATTGTAAATCAGAGTTTGCCATAGATGGGCACAAAAAGAATGTAGTGGTTACGTTAGGTTAGGTTACGAGATTTTTTATTATAAACTTTTGTAAAGCATAGGCAAGTGTTGTCTTGCTTTTGTATCTCAATAAATTTGGTGAATTTAATTCTTTTTCTTCTTCTTGATGTTCCTATCCGTTACGAATGTTGGTGATTAAGGTGGATCTAGCTTTTCCGATGCGTGCTGTAATCTCCTGGTTGTTAGTTCATTCTTTATTTATTATGGTGCCAAGGTAGTTGAAGTGCGTCACTCTTTCTACAAGGGATTGGTTGACGTAGAGTTGACCTTCTGTTATCCTCTTCTTGCTAATTATCACAAGCTTTGTTTTCTTAAAGTTTATATTGAGTCTATGTTGTTAACTGTAATACGTGATTTTGTTCATAAGAACTTGTGGGTCTTCTAAGTTGCCCTCAAATACTATGGTGTCATCTGCATATCTGATGTTGTTTAGCCGGTAATCATTTAGCAGAATACCTCTTTCAGTTTCGTACAAAGTTTTGATAAATATTCTTTAATAGTACAGATTGAAGATTAGAGAAGACAAAATACAGCCTTGTCTCACTACATGCTTGATTTTCACATAGTCAGTGTGTTCACCTTCAACTCTAAGATTTGCTGTCTGATTCCAGTAAAGATTTTAAATTATTTTCAGATCTTGGTTGTTAATTTCTGCTTCTTTTAGTATTTGCATTATCTTGGCGTGCTGTACTCGATCAAACGCTTTCTCGTAATCAACCAGACATGCGTATAGGTCGCAGTTGACGTTTCTGCATCTCTGGAATAAGTCTTGTACTGAGAACAAAACCTCTCTAGTATCAAAAGCATTTGTAAAGTCGAACTGGTTGGGGGAGATTTGACTTTCACACAGCTTGTACCGGGTGGTCCAATAAGCCGATCTCTCGGCTATATATCAGAAACTATTCATGTTATAACTTTAGGAGAAAAAATTCCTTAGTAAAAGTGGTCAAGAGAAATCGCTGGAAATCACTTTCAAGATTCTGGATTAATCACTAGGGGGCGTAACCTGCGAAGAAAATTTTGAAAACCAATTTTTTGGGAAATATGTCCAATTATACCAAGTGTTAATTAAGTAAACTAGAAAGAGGCATAAATTCTGCACAAAATTGTTCAAGTACTTTTTTTTTATTTTTTCAAATAAAGGGTGGGGGAGAGTGGGAAAGTATTTGTGGATAAATACCTATAACTTTGGTTTGGATCAACCGATTTTAACAAAATTAGTGTCATTAGAAAGAGTATGGATGAATTAATTTACATCTACTATAAAATAATTGCATTTAGTTTTACTTGTCGTAGGTAGAGGGTACTTTCGAATAGAAAAAATTAAAATTTGTTTTTCTTCAAAATTTTTAATGGAAACACCTACTTATTGTAAATTATAATGGAACTGGATTAAATTCGTAACAAAATGGCGCAAACCGCATGTTAATAGCTTTTATTGAACTCGAGATATGAATAAAAACGCATAAACATAAGTAAGTATAGTACTGACACACCCTGTATTATAAAATAAATTAAAAAATAAGTCAGTAGGTATTGTACTTTCAAAATTTTTTATAGCAGAAAACTCTTAATGTTGATTCCTATTTTGACCATTGTTATTTCATATGATTAAAAATTGTTTTTTCGAAACTAAGTAGGCTACGACAATGAATTTGACAGGGAGTTCATATTGTTTATTTATTGACAGCAGTCAAAATATTGTGTTATATGTATTATAATTCGAATTGAAAATTGCATTTTTTTCAATAGATATTAATATTGGTAATATTAGTAATTAATTATCAGTACTAATAATTCGTGATGAGTATATTAAATTGTATGATATGATTGGAGTTTATTTCGAATATCACCAAAATGCCGCTATTGCCTCACGTATATATTCTGTAAGATATCCTGGCAGGAGATATTGTGGCAAAGAGGTAGAGATTTCGGACTACTTATATGTGGATTCTGTTGAATTAAAGCAAGAACAAAAATTGAATTATCTTCGGTCATAACTCTACTACGTCGTTTAAAACAAGGACGAAAAAAACTACCGGTTTCTCTTAATCTTTTTGCCTTTCTTTCAAATACTTCTTTGCCATAATGTCTCCTGTCATGATATCTTACAAAATATATACGTGAGGGAATAGCGGCATTTTGGTGACATTCGAAATAAACTTCAATCATATCATACAATTTGATATACTCATCACGAATTATTTGTACTGATAATTAATTACTAATATTACCAATATTAATATCTATTGAAAAAAGTGCAATCTTTAATTCGAATTATAATACAGCACTTCTTAACAATGTTTTGACTGCTGTCAATAAATAAACAATATGAACTCCCCGTCAAATTCATTGTCGTAGCCTACTTAGTTTCGAAAAAACTATTTTTTACAAAATAGGTATCAACATTAAGATTCTTCTGCTATAAAAAATTTGAAAATACCTACTAACTTATTTTTTAATGTAATTTATAATACAAGGGTGTGTCAATACTATACTTACTTATGTTTATGAGTTTTTATTCATATCTCGAGTTCAACAAAAGCTATTAACATGCGGTTTGCTCCATTTTCTTACAAATTTATTCCAGTTCCATTATAATTTACAATAAATAGGTGTTTCCATTAAAAATTTTGAAGAAAAACAAATTTTAATTTTTTTTATTTGAAAGTCCCCTCTACATACGACTATGAAAACTAAATGCAAGTATTTTATAGTAGATGTGAATTAATTCATTCACACTCTTTCTAATGACACTAATTTCATTAAAATCGGTTGGACCAAACGAAAGTTATAGGTATTTATCCACAAATACTTTCCCACTCTCCCCCACCCTTTATTTGAAAAATAAAAAAAGTACTTGAACAACTTTGTGCAGAATTTATGCTCCTCTCTAGTTTACTTATTTAACACTTGGTATAATTGGACATATTTCCTAAAAAACTGGTTTTCAAATATTCCTTCGCAGGTTAAGCCCCCTAGCGGTTAATCCAGAATCTTGAAAGTTATTTCCAGCGATTTCTCTTGGCCACTTTTACTAAGGAATTTTTTTCCTAAAGTTATAACATGAATAGTTTCTGATATATACCCGAGAGATCGGCTTATTCGACCACCCGGTACATTCACTTATGAATTATTTTTAGAAAAAATTTTAGGAGACGTCTCATGAGGATTATAGTACGGTAATCTTCGCATTTTTTGTCTTCTAGTTTTTTTGGAAGTACAATAAACTCTGATTTCAGCCATTCTGTTGGTATTTTTCCAGAGTTGTTATGTTGTTGAATATCTTTGCGATTATTGCTATTGATTCGTTGTCCATTAGTTTGAGTAGTTCTGCTTGTATATTATCAGGGCCTGCCGCTTTGCCATCCTTTAACTGTGTTATTGAGGAATAAACTGCCTGCTGTAATATTCTTAGTCCATCATTTACCTCTTCTTCTAGCTCAAATTGGTTTTTCTAGATATTCTTTCCACTTTTTTATTTTACTATGTCCAAGATGATGTTTCCGTTAGAATCAGTTATTTTTCCTTTCTGCCTCCATCTTAGTCCCCCTGCGAGTTCTTTAACTTTCTTATGTACATTGTGACTTCTTTCTTTCTTTTTCTTTCGCTTCTCTGATTTTCGTTCTTATTAATATATTTATGGTTTTATATTTGTCTGGATGATTTTTGGCTTCTCTTCTCTCGTCCATTAGTTTCAGGATATCATCTGTCATTCATGATTGTTTCTTCATTAATCTATCTGTCTTAAGTGTTTATCCTTTATATTTTGCACTATTTCTGTAATATGTTCGATCGTTTGTTCTTCGTTCGATTCGTCTCTAATTGCAGTCACTTGCTCGTTTAAAGTGGCTTGGACTCTCATCCTCGTATCGAGGTCTTTCAGCATACGTAGCTCGTATGATTGTGCTTTCCTTTTCTGTACTGTTTTGAGTTTGACTCGAAATACTTCCACCAGTGGAACGTAGTCTATCTCCAAGTCTGCTCAACAATTGAAATGAATTCTCGGTATTTCAATTTTCCAATTTTCTACAAATATTTTATATTAAGCCACGAAAAATCCTATATCAAATTGTGGCTTATTCCCATTAAAATAGTAATTACTTTAAGATGCCACAAGAAAATAGCTTTAAAACAATATATTGAAGAGAGCTAGTTAAAACCGATACACAAGTTAGTCCAGCATTTTATTGTTATAAATTCAAAGGTCTTTTAAAAAACATTTTGGTTTATGCAGTATTAAGCATTTTGAAAAAAGAACCTCCAAATATCTAGATACTTATAAATAGGCTATATATCTTACCTGGAATTTGACTTTTGTATACCATATGACTTTGTCGAATTTGTAGCAGATTTTAAGTCTGGTTTAAGACTTTCGGATCTTCTAGGAATAATACTCTTTTTGTTAAGTGCACTATCCTGACTCTGTTTCCGTTGACTAATGAGACTCTTGGGAGTTTTAGATATAGGTAGCGATTGTAACCTAGACGTTCTTACAGGATTCCTATAAAAATATTTTATTAATTAGGTAAAGCTTAAATAAAACAAAATTGGTTGTGGCAAGCTTGCCCTGGTTAAAGAAACTTCGATTTATTTTCCGTCTATAAAAACTCAAAAAACGGAGACTTTTAAAGGACAATAATGGGGCAGAAGTTATATATAGGTTGAATGGATAACAGTGATAGTGAAAATATAAAATAAATTATAAAATTGGTGAATTCAATTAGTAAATAATGAAAACTGAGGTTAGAATCAAACTACGGAAAGATCGGATGCAGGACTTCTAGTAGTGGTGGAAATGTAAATATTTCAATTTTACTAGGACAGAATTTGAATTTCACTATTTAAGACAGAAATACAGGTTTATACAATCTTGCATTGTGTAAGAGAAAAAATCAACAGGAGAGTTTTTGAGAAGCAGTTCAATATACGCATATTATATTCGTGCAGCTATTGGGCTCATATGCTATTAAAGAAGTCTTATACTTTTTTCAATTAAAGAAGTTTACAATAGTTGTTTTGTGTTTTATGTTTCCAATAGTAACTGTGTAAAATATATTCAAGTTAAGTGAATGGATTATATTCGCAGTAAATATATACTTCATCTAATTTAGATAACGACTTACGTCATTATCTACGTCAGAGATCGAAGTTGACATAGTTGCCAAAGTATAAAAAAATCCTGACTCCATTTTAAATCAAATAGATTACATAATTATTGCAAAAGTATTACCATCTCTTTACAACGACTATTTAAATTCTTACGTGACATTTTTGAAATAAAACACACTAATTTTGTTCTAAAAAACAGATTTTATTAAATAGTTAAAAATATAAAACAAGAGATATTCACTTTAAAATTCAAAATAATGAAGTACAAAAAGTGTCAACACCGCAACTGTCAAATAAGTGTTACCAATTTATGCCAAAATTTTACCTTCGTTCGATTACAGTTACAGTGTATTCCGAACAAATGTTCTTGATAAAAACGCTTTATAATGCATTTATACAAATTAAATGAAACATATTATTGTGTATTTCTTTAAGTTAACATTAATAGAAATTTTTAAATATTATTTTTGCGTGTATATAATAAAATATGTCTAGTGGCTGTAATGCCAGTGTACTCGGTAAAGTGATTCTAAAAAAGAACACGCCTACACCCTAAATATTTTGTGTTGGTATCATGTGACGTCACAGGCTATGACGCCGATGACGTGCATCGGTATATAAATTAGATGAAGTGTACAAGCATTTGAATTCTATCTGAAATCAGAATGTGAGATACTAGAAAAAAGTGTACATACCTATAATTTGATTGCGTAACTTCACTGTTGACATTTGCGTTCTCAGTTTTATTATCTAGAGACATCTGTCGAATAGATTTCGGTTTCGTGAAATTAGCTACTACTATTTGTGCGGTGTCTATAATGTCCGTGTCATAGTTGCCGCCACCAGATGATGCGCCTTGACTCGGCGACTCTGACATAAGGCTCTGGGTCTCTTCGAATCCCTCATCATTGTCGTGTTCTTTGGTTTTACGGGAGGGAATATCGATTTTATTAGATGTCGCCTAAAAATAGTAAATTAAATTAAAAGCTATTAGACAAAATTAGTTTATTAAATACATAGACAATTGGAAGTAATATTAAACAGTATGGATTAATAATACTGCATGGTTTTTATTAAACTTCAATGAGAGAATGACTATATTGCATTTCCATAGGTTGCTAATTCAGAAACAGCTTATTAGAATCAAGAATATGCACTTATACCGGGTGCATTTAATTAATCATCAAAGGGGCTATAGGAAACTTAATAAGAAATTCTTAACTGTTGAATTTCTGCTTCTCCAATTATTTTACATGAAAAGTCCATGATATATTATTTGTAGAGGACAGAAATCGCTATCGAAAACAAATATTAAAATTATTCTACGAATTAAACATAAATTATAAAAGTTTGCAAAAATATAATATATTTGCCAGAGTATTGTTGTAAAAGTTAAGCCACACGTATAGCAGAATGTGTATAACGGGTTGCGTTCGGACACGATGAAGTTAAATTAACAATATTTGAATTGTCAATATTTTTATGTTACCCCCTCTGTGGCTCAGTGGTAAGAGCGCCTACCTTTGAACCTAAAGGTCGTGAGTTCGAATCTCATCTGGGTGAAAATTTTCGTTTATTAAAAATTAATAAATGAAAATAATTTCTATCCTTGTGCGATCGGTACTCACCGGAGGGACCGCAGACGTTCGGATATAATTAGCGTCTCTTAGCAAAGACAATGACGTCGACTTTGCTAAGTATCAAGACAACTACTCTACACACACACACACACACACACACACACACACACACACACTACACACCTGACTGTAAAAATTCACTGTACCATGCCAATGACCATTAGTTGTCGACGCATTAAACTCAATAAAAAAAAACATAAATATAAAAAAACATTTTATGTTATGATTTATTGTTAAAAAAAAAACAAAACTTAACGACATATACTCAGTTGAGAAAAAAAAACAGCAATAACGTTTTATTCGGGCAATAGTGAGAGCACTGTCAGATCTTTGAGTTAGCCTAAGATATTCTATTAGACTAATTCCAAGATTCAACAATTCACGGAATTTTAAAACAATTGAAAATAGTGGGACCGTGATTCCTAATTGTAACTGTACATTTTTATTATTTAAAGAACAAGAAACAAATATGATAATCTCTAAATATAAAACTATAACTAATGTTCAAATTATTCGTCATGTTGTACTAATTAGTATCCGAATTGATTATATAATTCTTGTCTAATATTAGCCACAATGCGTGGCCTTATTTTTTTACACTCTTCATTAATTAGCATTTTTCATGCTTCAATATCTGTAAATTTTTGGACAGAATAAATTTTGGATTTTAGATGCTCCCGGATAAAATAATCGTTTGGAACTAGATCTACCGATTAGGAGGCCACTTAATGTTACAGTTGGTCAAATTTATTCTTCATATGCTGTAAGTTTCGGTAAACTCTCTTCTTGTAACAAGTCCAAAAACTTTTCTGAATTTAAATTTTCCTCATAGAAAAATGGTCCAATACCTAATATTCTTATCTAGAAATTTATTTTTCGACGATATTTGGTATAATTTTTAATAATATCCTATGGCTTTTTTGTCGACCAAATCCTATAATATTAAACATTTAATTCATTATTTAATGTAAATGCACATTCATCGCTAAACAGAATATTTTAAAAAAATTGTCTGTCTGCATTCATCATCATCATTTTGGCTTTACAACCCGTGTGGCTCCCCAAGAATTCTCTTCCAGTCGTCCCTATCCATCGGCTTCCTCCGCCAAGCACGTATTTCCATATTTCTCATATCTTGGTCTATGTTATCTAGGAATCTTGTTCTGGGTCTTCCTCTTCTTCTTTGACCAATAGGTCTATCAAGGAGCATTTTTCTAGCTGGGCCGGTTTGCTCCATCCGTATTAGATGGCCTACCCACCTCAGACGTCCTATCTTAATGTGTTTTACGATATCTGGTTCCTGGTATATTCTATAGAGTTCGAAGTTGTATCGTCTTCTCCAGACACCATGACACCATTTTTATTTACCGCTCCATAGATTCGCCTTAGTATTTTTCTTTCGAAACATCCTAACATGTTTTTATTGCTTTTTGTTAAAGTCCAGGTTTCTGAACCATATGTTAGGACTGGGCGTATTATTGTTTTGTAGAGTGTTCTTTTGTATTTCTTGATACAACTGTAGATTTAAAAAGGAGATTAAGCCCAAAATAGCATCTATTATATATTGTGGCTAAACACCACGTACGGGGTTACACCGCTTAAGCTTTCTAGATCTATTTTACGAGGTAGATCAGTCCTCATTTTCTTTATTTAATTTTTCTTGTTATTTTTCTCCACTGTTTCCTATCTCTGGTTTTTTCTCTCCATTGTCGTACGCCCACCCTGTTGAGATCGTTTGTTACTTCTTGTAGCCATGTAGATCTTGGTCTTCCACGTCTTCGTTTACCAGCTGGTGTCCATTCAATATTACCATTTAATATTACCTTGCCTTACCATGAAGTTCCAGAGTTTTATATTTTTATAAAAATGTCTAAACCTACCTACTCTTTGTAATGAAAAAAAAACACTATACCAACCTTTGTCGTTTCAGGCGCAAGGTATGTGGTTGATATATTCGAGTTCCCTTTATTTAACTTAAGAGCAATTTCCACATCGCTTGGATTGACACCTGTTTGATTTCTCCATCGTCTTCCATTTCTTGTTTCATGGTCATTTTGACTTTTGAGTTTTTCCTGCCACACCTAATAAAAATCAATCATGTTAGATAGATATTAGTAATGGTAGGAAGTAAGGATGTGGAGGCAAGACCAGGCAAGTACGGATATTCGTAGATCGCGTGAGCAATCTTAGAATGGGAAGGGAGCATATCGGTTGGCTGCTGAAGAACCAAAAACTTAAGTTACGCAGATGATACAACGCTTTTCGCCAAGGCCTTGGAAGAATTGACGGAGCTACTGGAACGAGTGAGTTTTAAAGCGAAGTCCATCAACAAATCAAAAACAAAAATTATGGTTATAGATAGAAGAAATAACAACCAGACAAAAATTGTCAGAATTAATGACACCCAAGAAATAAAAAGAAGATTAGATGGTCTAGGAAGCCATGACAGTTCACGAGAATATGGAAAAATCACATCATTATAGATACACAGATAAGTCTTGTAAGAACAATGATCTTCTCCATTTTTATATGGGTCTGAATATTGGTATTCAATACAGTTAATAAACGTAGCTATTATAGTTGCGCGAAATTTTTTGCTAACAAAGAATATTGCTGCAATACCCTGTGTTCAAATTTTTACATGAGAAATACCATGTTATATTTTTTGCTATAATAATTCCTATACTTCTCAAACTCAATATTAAAAATCATTACCTTAGTCCAACCCTTAGTACTTCTTACTCCCATTTCAACCCCAATCCTTTAGACATACAAACACTTTTAAAATAGCAAAACAGAAAAACGCTCTCTCTCCTAGCTGGGTCCAACGCAAACGGACGTTTTCACAGCACTCTCTCTGATAGTGGTTCCGAAAAATACCGCGAATCCTCTTTGCTTTTTAAATCGTAGGTATAGATAACAGACGCAAATGTGCTTTATCTCTTCGATATTAGTGTTAGTATTGCGAGACACGTATGTAAAAACCGCCAAAGACGGCTCCCATTGTACGAAAAACAACCGCGAATGAATATCGCGAATCGAAGCCTGCATATATAAACACCGCAAATGTATGCAACACCAGTATTGGTAAGACTTTTTTGTAAACCTGCTTTGGCCATTATCTGTATAACCCCTTATTGCCTCTCCTAATTATTTTGAACTAGCCCTATTTAATACAGTTCTTATACACTGAAATCATATTAATATTTTTACATACGTGCACGCCCAAGAAGTCAATTCTTAGACAGCTGCACATTATAAAAAGCCTCCGAAACATTGTTACCAAAAAAATCACCGCTTACTTTGGTCACGTGGTGCTTAGAGATGGTCTGGAGAAGCTGACATTGGAGTGAACGGTTTAAGGCTGTTTTAGGAGTTCAAGTACACTGCGATTTGAAATTGGCGTATCACTTACATTTCTGCTTACGCGAGGCTATCTTTACTCAGTGGCGTCGGCCAATGGGCAACAAATGCATTACTCTCCATTCAAATTAGTTTTAACACGAACTAACTGACCGTACGCTCATGAGATTTGACGTCACGAAAGCGATAACGGTGAATCTAACCGACAATGATGAGCTACACGTTTCACTATTAGATTTTAGTATTTTTTAGCAATTTTCTTCAAAGTTTGAACACGCTTTTCTTGATTATTACTGGACACAGAAAGGTGAAAAAAAAACAACGATTACAGACAAAAAACTCTTTCAAGTGATGGGCGTAAAAAGTTTGGTTATAATAGAACGTTAAACAGTATAATCCAATTTTTCAACAGAAGTTTCAAAAAAAAAAATAAAAAACGTAAAACCATTATTTTAAAAGCAACATAGTTTCGAATATTGTGTCCAAATTTCGAGACATTTTGTCGGTAAATAACAGTTCCTAGGTTTTGGTGCACCGATAAAACAGCCTTAAGGAGCAAGTGTCTGGAAAAGAACACCAGCAAGATCTGTATACCACATTGCAAAAGAAGTCGGGGTCCCACTGAATCATTGCTTCAGATTTGTAGAAGACTGAAAAAGATGGAAACAAATCACGAAATATGATTGAGAATTCAAGGTGAAACGATGTAGACCGACTAGGAAGAAGATGAAGAAACACATTTTATGTAATAATACTTTGGAAACAGTTGACGTTAATTTAGCGCCAGCTGTAGAAAGAAAATTATATTAGTATTTTATTACTTCGTACCTTTAACCTTGATTCTTTATCTAACTCTGGTTCTACCACAGGCTGGGATACTTCTATTTGAGAAGGTGACTTCAAAATTTGTGTTTCTGTAGCAACAGTTTCAGTCGGAGAAGTAGTTGTAATTTCTGGGTTTTCTTGATTACGTTTATATCGTCTAGTTCTTCTTGTAGCAGAGTACCTAACAAGAGTATATTTGAATTATATTATTTTGTTAACAAAATATTAATATTACTTAAATAATGGCAACACTTCCATTTACAACTATTACCACTTAATTTTCAAGAATATTTATTAAATATTTTCTTTTCTTCATTATCACGGATTATTTAAAATAGTACATTTTAGAGCACAAGCACAGCCATAAATATTAGTGAAGTATGGCTTTCATCATACAAGCCAGAAAGGCTTATTAAAGAAAAAGAAATTATTGATTATTCTTCTTTTTCATTTAGACCTATGACTAAACTAACTACTAATTCTAATTTTGGCGAAATAATTATGCATAATTAGTAGTGTGGTTTGAAATTGTAATATGTTTAATATTTAAATTCTTCATGTTTATGGAAGTTAATGTATTAATTAGTAGCCACAAGCTGTCTTTTTCAACCATTTTCCATCCACTCCTGAATGTAGGTCTCTCCCAATTGCTTCCATCTTTCTCTATCTTACACCAATCTAACCCACTGTTTGCCTGCCACTGCTCTTATGTCATCTACCCACCTTTTTATTTTAGTAATTTCTTCCAGAATATCCCTAATCTTCGTTCTACGTCTTGTCTCGGTGTTTCTAATCTTGTCTCTCAGTGATAGTCCAAGCATGATTCGTTCCATTGCACTTTGCGTTGTTTCTAATTTTTTAGCAGATTTTTTGGTAACGGTAACTATCTCCAAGACGTAGGTACAAACTGGTAGTATGCATGTGTTATACACCTTTTTCTTTAAGTTTACAGGAATGGAATTGATTTTCAAGATATATGCTAGTTTGCCTAAAGCGCCCCATGCCAGTTGTATTCTTCTTTTAATTTCAGCATCTTGATTTGGTTTTTCTAATTTGATGACATGACCTAGATATACATAATGTTTAACATTTTCTATAGTATGATTTTGTATTGTTATTTATATAAGCCGGAGACAGAATGGGACAGAAGCTTCTATACAACATGTAGCTTCTCCTTAAAATTTTAAAGTGTTTGTTTATCTTTGTGTATTGTATTTTGTATTGTTATGTCCAAATTTTACATTTATGACATTCTACTCATGTCAGGATAGGCCACAATTGACGAAATGCCCCTGAAGATGATCTATTGATCGAAAGTACTTGGGCAAGATTAAATTAATCACCGTGTTCGATAGTTGCCTTGTATACCCTCAAAGTTTAATTATTCGAACATTCAACCTTATATTGATATCATTTAGTCCCTGGATATTATCGGCTATTAAAACTATGTCATCTGCGAATCTCAAGTGGTTTCAGTATGATCCGTCGACGTTGATACCATTGTTGTTCCATTCTAGTTTCTTCAAAATGTCTTCTAGAGCAAGGGTAAATAGTTTGGGAGAGATGGTGTCTCCTTGTCTTACTCCCCGTTGTAGTCTTATGGGATTATTTTTTGTACTGTCGTCCAGCTTTACCTGCATGGTGGCATTTTTATATATATTTTTAATTATGTTCGTGTATCTTGCTTAGAATGCTTAGTGTAGAATGCTTTATGGAAATCGACGAACGCCATATGAATTGGAACATTAAACTCGGTGCATTTTTCTATTAGTGTTCTTACGATGTGCAAGTGGTCTATGGTACTAAAATAAGCTAGATAGGTTGATAAAAACCGAGCTTATGTGTTAGACGGTTGGTTATGATTTTAGTTAGTAATTTATACAAATGTGATAGCAATGATAGTGGTCGGTAATTCTCGATGTTTGCTTTGTCTCCTTTCTTGAATAGTAGAATGACTTCGGAGTTATACCATTCTTGAGGAAGATCAAGTACTTTATTAAATAAAATATTTATTACCTGTTCCATTTTTCTGTCACCAATTTTCAACATTGCAACTGTAATTTTATTCTCCCCCGGACATTTATTCGTTTTTAGTTGATTTGGGGCCATTCTTATTTCATAGTCGGTTATGTTTGGTATTTCTTCTGAGCCGGTGTTAATTATTGTTTGTTCAGTACGTCGTCGTTGTGGTTGTATATTTACCGAGTATAATTTAGTGTATAATTTTTCAATGGCCTCACTTATTTCCTTTCTATCTCGGACGGTGACGTTTTTCTCATTTTTTATTTCTATGATTTTTGTTATTCGCTTGAGTTTTTTGCTTTCAGTACTTTCATATTGCAGTTATTTTGTATTATATCTTTTATTAGATTGTAAGTATAGTTTCTATGATCATTCCTAATTTCTTTCTTCGCGTTTTTGTTTAAACTTTTGAAGCTGTCCGAAGTTCGATCTGTTCTGTTTCGTCTTTCTTGGAGTAGTTTAATTGTATTAGGTTGGAGTTTAGATGTTTTGGCTGTTTTCATGTTTGACCATATTTTCTTAACCGATGTTGTTACAGTTACTTTTATTTTATTGGCTAGTCCGTTTATATCCATTTGATTCAGTGTCTCTATTGCTTTTAGTCTTGTGCTTAGCTCTTTTTGGTATTCTGTTTGTTTTTGAATCAGGACATCGGTGGTTGGGTATCGTTCTCGTTTAATAAGTGTGTTTCGTTCTACTCTCGTCTGTATTTTAATAATCGCTCTAACCAACCTATGGTCACTTCCGTTATATAATTTGTTTAGTACTGTCACGTCGGTGCATATGTTTTTGTTATTGAAGAGTATGTAGTCTATTTTGTTCTTAGTTTTCTTGTCTGGGCTGATCCATGTCCATTTACATTGTTTAGATTTTTTAAAAAAACATTTTCGTTGTTTAAGTAGTTGTTCAACATATCACCCCTTTCGTTCCTGTTGACCAGCCCAAAGCGACTGATATATTGTGGGTCACACTATTCTTTTGTTCCAATTTTTGCATTAAGATCTCCTGTGATTATAACGTAGTGTGATTTTTCTTGATTCCTTGTTGTTGTCAGATTCTCGTAAAATGATTCAGCTTCTTCATCTGTTGAGTTTCCTGTCGGTGCATATCCATGTATTATCTGCAAGCTGTATCTGCTGTTCAAAGCGATGATATGTTCAAAAGATATATAGCTCTGTTTGATACTGTATAGAACTTCGTTACTTTTCAGGGTGCTCGTTTATTTATCAGGAACACTACACCGCCTATGTGGTGCTTTTCTACGGAGTTTTACTAGTAAATCTGGTGACCGGATTTTAAGATGGTACCAGCTTCTCCTGGTAAGCGAGTTTCGCACAGTCCAATTATATCCCACTTGATATTTGAAAGCTCTTGTTCTAGTTCGTCAAGGTGTTCTTGGGTCCTCATAGTGCTTATATTGTAAGTGGCTATACGAAGCAATGATGGGTAGTTTTTCTTATTAGATTCAGTCGAATATTTGCCCCCGCCCCCAGAATCCAGAAGTGTGAGATTTTGAGTGTATAACTCTACTCAGCTGGGGTAATTTCGTATTGATACTCGACATCTTCAACTTGAGAGGTTTTAGCATATTTAAAACGCCACGCTTGCCAAGCGGGTTGGCGAGTGATTCTATACAATCCCTAAAATCATTGGATTGCCACTTCCGCCATCCACGCCCTACCGAAGGTATTCTTCTTTGCCGTGGCTGTCGTTGAACAACGAGCAATAAGTTTTTTTTGTTTATATTGGTTTTATCTAATTGTAAACATTTATTTTCAGACTGTCTTGAGAAAAGAACTAAAATTTCTGAAACTCAAAGAGTTTTATTTTTATTTGCCTAAAATAAATTGACTTTATTTTGTCAAGAAAAAAAAAACAGTTTATATAATTTACAGTAACGTTATAATCATTTCATTATTGTTAAGTCACGACAGAGACTTTTAACAATTAATTTATAATGGTGTCCCATTTTTTAGCTGGATGTGAATTTTTGTAACCTTAAATATCTATCTTGATAGGGCTAATAATAAAATAACCATTTATAGACAGTGAAAAGTAGTAAAAGGCTAATACATTTTTGTTATGGTTTCTGGGATTGTGTAAAATTTTAGTTAAATTTATTTTTTATACCTAGTTATCTTATAGTCTAATTCATTGACTGCGTATTAATCTTAAAATATGTTTTTTACCTATCAAATTGTCCGTCGCCTAGCACCGATCCATCCTCGGGCTCATCTGGACTAATCATTGAAATCAAAGAGCTGCTACTTCTTCCAGTTCTTCTGCTACAAGGTCCAGGCATGACCGGCTCCCTCTTATCAACGGGTGTTGGTACAAATATTCTTCTAGTTGCTGGTGGTGTTTCGATATTGTCTTGATCTATTTCTAATTTGTTATTATTTGAAACACCATCTGGACTATTTAATTGAGAATCATTGGTACGACGAGAGTTAGAGTTAAACGTGGGTGGTGTTGGAGATATGAACGAAGGTTCTGTAAAATAGAAATAAAAAAACATTAAAAAATTTGAAGTGAGTAAAATATAAAGCAAATGTCCAAAAAACACGCGAAAAAAAAATAATATGTCCTCGGAATAAAAAAATAAAACCAAAAATGGGAATTGGAAAAGTAAGAACTGATATATCAATTTAGTAGCAGAAATATAATTGAATCCTCGATCATTATCACAGGGACTAGATTTTTAAAATATGAAAAGATAACTTTTAAGATGTGTAAAAAGAATATAGAAGTTAAGTATTTTAAATTGTTACGGTATTATACAAAACGTCCAACAATATCGACCTTTGTTCCGCTACCAAAAACCAAGAACCACAAACACTGTAATGGCTATGGATTAATCAGCTTAATGACACACTTATTAAAAATATTTTTAAAGATTATACATGCAAGAATATTCAGAAAGTGCGAAGCGGATATGAGTAATAGATAGTTTGGCTTTCATAACGGCTTCGGAACAGTGAAAGCTCTGTATAGTTTCACAACTCTTGCCCAAAAATGTCGAGACCAACAAAAAGATCTTTTCGTTGCGTTATAGACTATGAGAAAGCTTTCGGCAAAGTTAAATAAAACATTCTCATGAAATGTCTAAAGAGAACAGGACTAGACAAAAATGACATTAATATAGTGAGAAATATATATTGGAATCAACGGGCTGTGGTAACATTAGGTGGAAATAGCACAAATGCGCAACAGATAAGTACAGAAGTGAAACAGGTCTGAAAAACATATTGAGCAAGTGGACAAAATGAAATACTTAAGAGTCTGGACTGGATTACGGAAGATCTGAATCCAAAATCAGAAATTCGCTCAAGAATAGAGTAATCAAGAGCAGCCATTTTGAAGATGAGGAAATTTCTGAGTAACCAAAAACTCAATATGCAAATTCGATATCGGATGGTGAAATGTTATATCCACTCTATTCTTCTTTATGATGTCGAAGCCTGGACTGTTAATGTTGACTTAATAAGAAAAGTGGAAGCATTTGATATTTGGCTTTTTAGAAGAACGAACGAAATGGTGTTGCAAAGAATGAAAAGAGACAAAGAACTTTTACCCACCATTAAAAGGCGAAAGACAGCATATTTGCGGCGTATACTTAGAAATGGTAAGTACGAGTTGTTGCAGCTGATTATGAAGATTAAAAGCGAAGGAAAAAGGTGTCCTGGTAGATGACAAATATCCTGGCTGAAAAACATTCGCGACTGGACCGGGTTAAACACACAGACGCTCTTAAGAAAAGCAGAAGATAGAGACAAATTTGTGATGGTTATAGCCAACCTTCATTAGTGGAGACGGCACTAGAAAAAGAAGATAAGGCTCTTGCGATATCGAAGCATCCTATAGGAACAATAAGTTTTACGGTAGCTGCCTTATTCTGCTGAAGGTTTGCTTGTAGGACCCTGATTGGGGTCAATAACCTATTTGTGATCGATATAGATTCCGAAGAAGTTTTGGTTGATATTACTGTTGACTCTTTTTTTTCAAGCGATTTAATTCCTTCTTTTAATTTGCTTGTATACATATTTGGATAGTGCTTGTATACATATGGGGTAGTTTTATGATTCTATAATTCTATTTTATGCATAGAAATGAAATATAATCAAGTATAATCAATAATGGTACACAACCACTATAGACGAATCAGAAATGAAACGAATACTTTAGTTAGGCAAATAAAAAGGGAACACTTGCAGACCTTCTTAAAACAGATGGAACACGACTTCTACGGAACACAAAAAGAAATATGGAAAATGATCAGAGGATAAAGAAACGTGATGAACGAACTAATAAAACGAAACATATTCAAAAGGAAACATGGGCAGATTACCTCCGATCATTATTTGCTAGAGTTAAGGATAATGAAACACCACCACCAGAAGTGATAATAAACGAAGAAATAAACATTAAGAAGGGAGAAGAAAAAACAGCATTAAGGCAATTAAAAAATAGAAAATCACCAGAAGAGGACAGAAAACTGAATGAACCCCTAAAGCATGGGGGACTAGATCTTACCAAACAACTATTAAAGCTAATTAAAAAAAATAATAGAATAATACAGAATACCACAAGAATGGAGAACAAACATCCTAATATATCTCTAAGAAAAGGGAGATAAAACGGAGCCGGAAAATTGGTGAAATTACTTAATTAAATTAAAATTAACGGTAAAATTAACATCCAAAGTAATAACAAATAAACTGAATGAAATTATAACACTAGCAGGAGAACAACAAGCATAGTTATGTTTCATCGACCTTAAAAAGCCATTTGACAGGGTCTAGTTAAAGAACGTTATTAACTCATTGTAGGCAAGAGAGATACCTCTAGGAATAATCAACACTGTCGAAAATATCTACGAGAATAAGACAATAAAAGTAAAAGTAGAAGAAGAATTCTTAAGAAAGCTTAAAAAATGAGTCCACAAGTTTTCTTTATAAACTACGTTAGGCACAAAAATTAGACGAAGAAATAAACGGAACAGCGGAAGAAATGTATGAGACTTTGAAAATCAAAATTCATGAAGCAGCATTAGAAGCTCTAGGTACGAAAGAAAAAGTAAAACGTAGTAATTATTGGTGTACAGAAGGTTTATTAGAACGGGTAGAAGAAAAGAAAAAACTGTATCTCAAATGGTTAGCGACAAAAGATGAGGAATACCGAAAGAACTATAACAGATACAAATATATACATAGTAAAAAAGGAAATTAAAAAAACAAAAAACATAACCTGGGACAACAAGTGTGCAGAAATAAGCTCAATGGTAGGAGGATCTAGGTCCAGACAAGCTTGGAAAACTATCAACAGTCTTAGAAAAAATACAAACGAAACAAAAAAAAATAAACCCCATAGACATAGAAAGATGGAAAAATTATTACGAAAATCTATTAAATAAACAACGTACACAGTTTCTAGACACACAGATAGGTAGAGTTGAAACGGGGTTAAATGAAGTGGCGATGATTACCGTAGAAGAAATAAAAAACGCATTACAAAAAATGAAAAATAATAAAGCTCCTGGGCCGGGTGATTTACCTATCGAGTTATTCAAACATGCCACTGCAATAACATTAGAATTGCTTTGTAAAATATTTAACAAGTGCCTACAAGGAGAAAGTATCCCAAGAGATTGGAAAGTCTCGTACATAAACTCCATCTACAAAAAGGGAAACAGGAATGACTGCAGTAATTACCGAGGTATCAGCATTACGTCATCCACTGGCAAACTGTATGAAAGAGTTCTGAAAGCCAGAATAGAAAAAGAAGCCACAGAGATCGAAGAACAAAGTGGATTCCGACCAGGGAGATCTTGTGTCGACAATGTATTTACTCTCAAACATCTAATGGAAAAGAGATTAGCAAGAGGACTAGAACTTCATGCCACTTTTATAGATCTCCGTAAAGCGTTTGACTCCGTACCACTGCAGAGACTATGGACAACATTGGAAAACGCAGGTATAAATGCAGTATATATAAATGCCGTGAAAAAGCTATATCAAGATAACCAAGCTTATATTAAGGTTGGAAACCAAATTTCCAAGGGTTTCACCCAAACAAAGGGTGTCAAACAGGGCTCTTGCCTCTCCCCAACCCTATTTAAAATATATCTTGGTAATGCTTTAAAATATTGGATGAGAAAATGCAGCCCAATGGGCATATGGGTAAATGACACTCCTATATACACAATCCTCTTCGCAGACGACCAGGTAGTTCTTGCCGAGGACCTACAAGATATGACGTACATGATAAACAAACTAATAGACGAATTTAAAAAATGGGGATTAGAGGTTAATACCGAAAAGACACAATACATGAATATAGGAGGCATCGGTCAAGACATGGAAACAGAAAGCGGATTAATTAAAAACGTTGATCAGTACGAATATCTCGGAGTTACACTAAGCGAAGACGGGAGAGACGACAAAGATATAACAAGAAAAATAGGAAAAGGAAAAAACATGATAAAAACACTACATCCGATCCTGTGGAATAAAACTTTAACTAAGAAAATAAAGAAAAATATATATCAGGCTATGATTCAGCCGGTGCTGACGTATGGGTCAGAAGTGTGGGTCTTTAACAAGAATATGTCACAAAAACTCCTCTCAACGGAAATGATGTACTGGAGAAGATGTTCCGGGTTAACTTTGACCACATAAGAAATGAAAACATAAGAGAGAGAATGAAAGTAAAGAACACAATAATGGATACGATAGCCGAAAAACAATTAAAATGGTATGGACACCTGAGACGGATGAACGAAGAAAGGATACCACGAAAGGTTTGGAACTGGAGACCTACACAGAGAAATAAAAGGGGAAGGCCAAGAAAGAAATGGATATCCAATATTCATATAGAAATGGAAAATAGAGGTCTTCAAGAAGGAGACTGGGCCGATAAGAAATTATGGCGATTGGGATGCTAGAAGCGACAAAATTAAAGTTGCAAACACTCGCTATATATATATATATATATATATATATATATATATATATATATATATATAGAAGAAGAATTAACTGGAGTCAGTTCAAATTGGAGCTGGATGGTCAGATAATAATAGAACAAGCAATGAAGTTTAAATATCTAGGCATCACTCTATCTAGCTACAAAAAGCTCGAAACAGAAGTGGAAGATAAAGTGAATAGAGCAAACAGAGTGCAGGTTGCCCAAATAAAACAATATGAAGAAATAAAAATATCAAGAAGAAATGAAAGGCAGAATTTACAAAATAGTCATCAGACCACTAATGGCATACGCGAGACAAACACGGCCTGACAGAGAGAGGACAAAAATAATGCTAGCTACAGCAGAGGCGAAAACCCTTTTAAAAGAGCTGAAATGCCAGGTGGAGAACATCAAGCACTGGGTAAGAAATAGACAATGGAACGATCAAAAAGGCCAAATGACAAGAAACACAGTAGTAAAGGTGGTGCGAGACGGTTTCTCAAAAAGAAGATGATCAGTGGGAAGATCACGAAAATGATGGAACAATAACTTACTGAAGGTACATTGAAAAATAGCCGGAGTTCTGTCTACATAAAAAGAAGAAGAACAAATAACGATAATAATTTTTGTAGAAAGTTCTTCCACCAATATTTGTAATTTAATTGTAAACTATATAATATATTCAAAATATGAAGTAAAATCACATAAAGGATTTGAAACACAATAAATAGCTTACTATAAAAGATAAAAGGAGAATACTCTTGTTCTGTTCTGTTATACTTACCCGAAACAGGTTTTCTAATATATAAAGTAAGTCTATCAGTCGGCATGCGCTCTCCAAGAGAACTAATCAGTCCCTTCCGGTCAATCGTCTTATCTTCGTCTATGGAATGTAGTGAATTATCTCTCGGAAGAGTATTACGATTTACGTAAGGGTCATCTTTTGTAGCTTCTGTGCTGTTGGCGACATTTAAAGTTGACTTGCGCCAAGCTGATTTGTCTTTTATTTGTGGCTGAACCTCTAAAAATCACAAACAAAATAATTATTAAATGGGTGGTTATCAGTATTAAATATTATATATAATTAGGAAGGCCTGCCCCAACTCCTTTTATTGATTTCTATCCTCAGCAACATATACTTCCACTATGTTCTGGTTTTTTTTTCGACCAAATATTTTATTAAAGAAAACATTTTTAAAATACTGCAAGAAAAAATTACCTTCAACAGCTTCCATTGCACTAACAACATCAGTATTTTCAATGGTACTAGAAGGCTGCCACGCTGGGTTGACTTTCCTATAATTAGATTGACCACCACTATAAACTTGTTTGCCTTCGGGAAGAGTATCCAAAGTACTACTTCTTTCGCTCTCTAAAAATATGTAAATATGGTTAGTATAAATGTTATTTAGTGTGTTTTAAACTTTTAACACAGTTTTTTTGGTGATATATTTTTAAATTTGTGTATGTTTACCTGAATCCATTTCCAATGATCTTCTGTTAGCTAATCGTCTAGCCCTTCTTTGTTCATCACTCAGTTGATCATTTTCGTTTGCTTGCAACCAAGACTCTATTTTCTGCCTCCATTCCTTTGGTTTTGTCTCTTCTTCTGGTGCGGAAACTATTGACTTTTGTTCTGTTAAAGGCGAAGGTGATGATGGTCTTTCTCGGTCACTAGAGAAATCTGCTGATAGAAGAGCCGGCCTCTTCCTCGGTCCACTACCCCTTGCTTTCCTTGCCCAAGAACGATCTATTCACATAAATATAATTCGCTTATTAGGTATTTTTTTTAAACACAATTATATTCTCTGTATTAGAATATTTTTAATCGCTTAATATATGTTACGATTGTATCGGGACTAACAGCAATGCAAAATCAAATTATTGTTTTAATGTTTGTAGATAACAAAATTGTACTAGGTATAACTAAGTATTTAATAGATACATCTATATCGTTTTCACAGTAAAACTTTTTAAAGAAGATCATTATGTGTCTCATTTGGTCTATATATGTTTATTTATTTTTACTTTGGCTGTATTTATAAGAAATTTTTACAATTATAGAGATTAGAACAAATTTTTTGAGCTTTCTATTGTATTTTTTTATTCCTTTGAATTATTTCTTATTATGCAAGTTAATTATTTCTATTAACGTGCAAAAGTCATTGTTATTTCTTTTTAAATCATTCAGAACTCTATATATTTTATTTGTTTTATTATCGTATAAAATTCAATTTAAAATTAAGCTAACTTTTTATCCACTTACCTAAACTACCCCAAGATTTTCTTTCCCTATTGTTATCACCGCCAGACGCTCTTAGAAAATCCATAAGATTGCCTTCATCATCTTCAGATAAAACTCTGCTTCTTCTCCGTCTTAAACTACCGTTAGGAGTAATATCTGGGGATTTTTCTTCTTTACCTCCAACGACAGTATCACCGTTTCCATTGAATGAACCTAGTCTACGTCTTGACAAAGATGGAGATCCTGATATAGAGTTTTCGTCCTCAGAACCATTCTTACGTCCTTTACTCATTCGGAATGATGATCGAGTGTCGTATATTTGCATATCTATACTAAAATCTGCATCTGGTGTTCCCATAAGATTTCCCACTAAGAACAATAAAGACAGTATATAATAAAGAAAAAAAGTTGTTAATATTAATGTCATTTTTGTCGAGTCCTTCTTTCTTTAGACATTCCATGAGAATGTTATGTTTAACTTTATCAAAAGCTTTCTCATAGTCTATAAACGAAACGAAAAGAACTTGTTGTTGGTCCCGACATTTTTGGGCAAGAGTTGTGAAACTATACAGAGCTTCCTCTGTTCCGAAGCCGTTACGAAAGCCCAACTGTCTATTACTCATATCCGCTTCTTACTTTCTGAATATTCTTGCATGTATAATCTTATAGCATGGATCAAAACAGTTTATCCGAGGTAAACCCATTAGGTGGGGCTATAAATTATGGGTCGGAACCACAAAACAGGAATACGTCGAGTGATTTAAACGTTATCAAGGTGCCACGACTCCACTTTCTGATATATACAAGGAATAAGGATTAGGAGCCAGTTGTCATTTGCCGATAAATTGCAGTCTGATAACCCAGGTACGCCTTTTCACTTACTCTGTGATAATTTCTTTACACCTCACTTCCATTACTAAACGAGCAAACAGCAAGAAACTTAAAATGCACTTTAGCAATTCGAGAAAATTAAGTTCCGGGTTGTTCTTTAAAAAATTTCAAGCTTTTCAAAAAAGATCAAAGGGGTGTATTTGAATACTCACTCGTAAAAGACGAAAATATTACAATATGCGAATGGAACGATAATAATGTTGTTACTATCGCATCAAATGCTACTTCACCACTGCCAACTCTACAGGCGAAAAGATATTCGCAGAGAGAAAAGAAAGGTATACTCATCCCTCACCACAGCCATATAATAAAAAAATATAATGAAAATAAGGGAGGAGTAGACCGTGCAGACCAAAACATAAGCTTGCACAGAATAGGTATCAGAAACAAGAAATGGTACCTTAGTTTATTTTCGCATTGGCTTAGTATGGCCTATGGTACTATGCCTGGCAATTTAATAAAATTAATGGTGGGGAAATGATTCATCTACTAAAAATCTCATCATGATACTACTAAACGCGATCGTCAAAAAAAGTCATAAATCTGTCTTGTCAAAGTGAAAGGTGACTGAAATGTTTCACGTGTAACATCTAATGGTGCCCCTAGAGGAGTCAATACTAGGTCCATTCTGTTTCAAATCTAACTTATGGATGGCAATCAAAATCTGTTACAATGATTTAACTGATGCAATTGTATTATTGCCAGATATTATTAATACTTTTCAAAACGACTTACTAGTTGTGACAATTTTTTTGAATAAGGGTCTTCTTCTTTGCATGCCATATCAGAATTATCCGACGTTGGCGATCACTATTGCGAAGGCTTCTTCTGCAATATCGAATAGTTGTCCTGCACTTGGTATCTGAGTCCATTCACGAATGTTTTTTAATCAAGAAACTTGTTACACCTCTACGGCCCTCTATTTTGCCTTCAAGGATCAGTTGCAATATCTTATATCGACTTCTCCTTACAGTCTTTAAAAGTTCTTTATCTTTGTTGACGATCCTTAGTACTTTTTCATTAGTTTTCCTTGCTGTCCAAGGTATCTTTAGCATTCGTCTATGAACCCACATTTCCAATGCTTCAATTTTGTACATGATCGATACTTTTAGCGTCCACTATTCTGCACTATACAAAAGTACGGACCAAACATAGCACTTAACCATTCTTTGTCTTAGTTCTAAACTGAGATGATTATTGCAAAGAAATGACTTCATTTTAATAAATGTAGTTTTGCTATTCTATGTTTTATTTCTATGTCTCGATCTAGTTGGTCCGTTATTACAGTTCCCGAATATGTCATCTGACAGAATTACTGTATCGTCTGCATATCTAATGACATTAAGTAGTTCCCCGTTGATTTTTATTCAATATGGTTGTCTCTTAAGTGCCTTTTTAAATAAATGGTCTGAGCAAACATTGAACACTGTTGGCGACAAAATGCAACCTTGTCGGACTCCTCGTTGTATGGAGATTTCATCCCCGGTGTAGTTATCTCCAATTTTTACGATAGCAGTTTGATTCCAGTAAAAATGTTTAATGACACGAATATCCTTGTCATCTATTCCGATATTTTTTAGTATTTTCATTAATTTTACATGCTGTACTTTATCGAATGCCTTTTCGAAATTCACGAAACATGGAAATACCTCTTTTCTTTGGTCACGGCATTTTTGTAAAAGGATGTTAAGCGCAAAAAGTGTCTCCCTGGTTCCCAAAGCATTTCTAAAACCTAATTGGGTATCTTCGAGATCTTCTTCGCATTTGCGTTTAATTCTGGCATAAGAGTCTAATATAATCTATTCAGTAAGTTAATAATTTATAATCTTATTAATTAGCTTAATTAATAAGCTATTATTCTCAAAAAGCTAAAGCAATTTGTAAAGAAAATTCTTCTTTATATCTTATATTAAAATCTTTTCGTATAATCTGTTTAGAATTAATTTTAATTCTACAAAAGTTATAACTGGAGACTATCAATTGAGGAAACAGCGTAACCTATTTGTTAAAGTGAACAAACAATGGTTCAGGAAAAACAAAATGGAGTAAAACAGTGTCAAAAAACGCAGATCTAACAATTAATAAAGTATCTAGAGATAAAAAATATGATAAACAAACATAAATAAATTTAAACTTTACAAAATCTAATAAAATACTTACTTTGCCTTCGCTTTGCTGCCAACAGTTCTTCACGTTGGCGTCTCCTTTCGTTGGCTTGTTCTTCCTGAATTCTTCTTCTCTCGTTTTCAATAACAGCTTGTTTAAATTTACAATAGAATCCGTGAAATATCCTAAAACATTCTTCTAACTTAAATGAATTGACGTCTTCGCAAAAGAAGTCAGATAGTTCTTTTCGTACATGTTCTAATTCTCCTAAGTTTATTTGAAGGCTTGCAACTTCTATTTCTGCCATCTAAAATAAAATAATTTTGACTATAGGGCTTAAAAAATATACTTAATGACTTAAACGTCTCGTGTACTGATAAATACAATAGAACATGGAGCGTATTGACCACCACACCCATTTGATTCCAGGAAAAACCAGGAAAAAATTCATGATGTAGCCCGACATAGCAAGTACATTTATATTAGAGACATGCGGTCCTTTATTTAGTGTAGTCTCAATATTAACATAACATTATAATTTTACATGTGTGTGACTTTAAAACATAGATGACGTATCCTCGTTTGTTTTTAACTTACTAATAGTGATACTTTCTTTTTAGCGATTTCTTATATCGTTCAGGAAATGAAAGTTTTCACCTCGCAGTTTTTTTCTCCAAGGTTCAAAATCTATATAATGCCGAAAGGCGCTTTTACGCATGGGTTTAGTTGCTACCCCATGCCGAGGGTGAAAATTTTTTATTATATTTTGACCGCACAAATTGGTAGAAAAATTAATTCTAAGCAAAAATTTTCTATAATGTTCATTGATAAAATTAACAGTTTTAGATTTATTCGCTATCGAAATTGTAAGTTTTATATCGAAAAAATCAATGTTTTTAATGGATTTTCTGCTAATAACTTAAAAATTACACAGGCCTACATTTTTTCATGAAAAAGTGTTTAATAAGTGTCCTATAGTAAATGGGATGTGCTGGTCATGAATCTGTACTTAGTTTTTTTTCTAGCACGTCAGGTTTTTAAGAAAAGTGTGTTTGAAATTTTTCACAGAAATTGCCAAAAATATTGATAATATATTTATTGAAACTTTATTTAATACAAAATTACACTGTAAAATTGACAACTTACTTTAGACAATATTTGGTTTTTTTGAAAAAAAAGTCTCTTTTTACATGAAAATTGCGTTTTGTGGTCTTCTTTTTATGGATTTTTGTGATCGAGTCCCTCTTCAAAGTCTAAAAGTAATCAGCCATCATTCTTATATCCCATCTTCCTTGGTAACATCTCTTCATCTCCTTTATATCTTGATGGAACCTCCCTCCCTGCTACTCGCTGACAGCTCCAAGATTTTCGGAAAAATAGTCAACGTGAGAATCCAAAAAATGAAGTTTGACGCTCATATTGCATCCCAGTTTTTTATAATTTTCGATTATGTTGGCTACAATTTCTTTATAGTTTGGAGACTTGTTGTTTCCAAAGAAACCGCCTATGACTTCTACGAAAGAACTCAATGCTTCAGATTGATCCTGGATCCTTGTATTCTGGAACAATCTGTCCGATTTTAAGGTTCGAATTTGAGAGCCAACAAAAATTCCTTCCTTTAAGTTTAGCTTCAGAAAGTGCAGAAAACTGGTCGCACATATATTTAAAGCAGTCACAATGTGTAGCATTTTATATTGAGATCCCCTCGTATATGTAAAATATTAAGATCCCCTTATATATGTTTGATGAATCTAAGAATATTTCGTACGTATTAAAACCCAAATATCTTTTCAATTCTTTCTTAGGTCAGCCAAGATAAAATAAACCATTTTAGAGTTGTTTATTGTTTTAACTTTTTCGGCAATTTCTTTTAATGTTTTATTTGAAGTCGCGTTGTAATTTTTATACGTCGCAAATAGAATCTTCTACGTTGTTTCGTTGTGTTTTGTTATGTCGGCGTTTTGTTTGTTTTCAAGTTATATGAACGAATTTTTAAGTTCGTCATTCATACTTGGGTCGTCGTAGTGTCAGGTAAGGATCTAAATTCTTACTTGGGTCGTTGTAGGCTCAGGTATGGATCCGACTTCGTCGTCGAATTTGTAGTTTTCTGTTTTTGGCTCCGTTTGGGGAAATAAGTAGCAGTAGTGGTGGATTTTTATCTATTATGAAGTGACCGGCATTAATTCGCCAAAATTTGTGAAGTTTCCGCTCGATATTTTAAGATCTAGAAAAGTCTAGATTCTGTTGAAAAGTTGAACAAGTTTAGTTTCTGTTATTTGAAAATTCCCATTTTTCCAAGTGTGCTAGTTCCAGCCCCCAATGGGTAAAGCTCTTCGCTGATGATGTCCGGATAGATACTCCAAAGATGTAACAAGTTTTTTTTTCTTTTCGTGAAGTGGAAATATGTGAATCCAGGTAACTGTTTATTGTTTGTTTAATTTCAAAGTAAAGACAGATATTTTTTTAGAACAATCATTGCTTTCGTTAAAATTTAGAAATTGTAACATTTAAAAATTATAATGCGGTAACATTTGTAAGTTTTATATAGTATCTCTAACTTTGGAGTTTGTAAGCGGATGACACACGTAAGTTTTTTTGTATTCTTGTATTTCTCCATGTTGTAACTGTTTGTGGTGACACAAAAATAAATGTTAAATTTTGTTTTCTTAACATTTTGTTTATTTTTTTTAACTAACCCTTTTTTGAGTTCTATTTGAAAAAGATATGTTTTTGATGTTTTATAATTATTTTTCTAGTTACAACTAGTGGTTTTAATAGGTATAATTAGGCGCCTTATATTAGAGTGGCGCCTTATATTAAATTCCTTGAGGTGTTTCCTGTTTATTTTTATTTTGTTTATCTCAAGAGATTAATGACCCCTTTATTTCATTGTAGTTGCCCCAATCCAACCCCCTTATCTTTTACTTATCCACGACCCCAGCTCTCCTACTAAACCCTGAGTGCCGTTCGCACAAGTAGCGATTATTTTGCTTGCCTTATCTCCACCCCTTTAGTTTCAGTCCCCAATTTTATACCCCATAATCTTACCGCATGTGGTAGGCAAAATAGTTTCGTTACAAATGTTTATCTAAACCTTTGACAAACTGCCCCATCAATTCTAACTTTATGTGAAGAGGAGACAAAAGAACTAATTTTGGGTCAACTAGTGTATCACGTTGCACATTTTTTGTCCCGGTACAAGTTTTTCTCTCACTCTTTCTTAACGTAATGTAAATTTCGTGCTCGACTGTCCCACTCGCACAAAATACTTTATTTTATTTAGCAACAGCTCAAGATTCTCATATGTTCCTTTGAGATGCTCGGAGTGAGCAACAGGCACTGAGCTTCCAGTTTTATGGCTACTTCAGGAATATTATGACAATACACTAGTGAGCCCTCTTAAGAAAAATATTCCACTAACTCTTTTTCAAGATATATACCACGAAAATGTGGTACCTGGAGCCAATAGATTTTTAAGTTTTAGTCATGATCCTAAGATTTGTGCAGCATCCTTCGATAAGCCCAAGTCTCACTTATTCATTTAGTTCAGCTTGAATAAATTTTTGAGGTTGGTCTCTCTCAGGATTGAATTCGTCTTCATCGGTTTTTTCGTCTGAACTTTCATCTGATGATTACCGTTGGATGGTGTGAAGAAAAGGTGGAAGATAAGAGATTTCTGGTCCATGAGATACAGGTCGTTTAACAGAAGGTAAACTAGGATATTAAATTTTGTGTTTATTTTTTGAATTGAAAGGGATTTTTGGTCCTTCCATACCATAGGAATGCCGAAGGGTAAAGAGTTACGTGTAACTTTTGTCCATTTTCTCAGTAGTTCGACACACACTGAAAGCACAGTTTGTGTGGAGCCCAAGGTTTGTCCTGATCACCAAGCTTTACACCGAAGTAAGCGTAGTAAGCTTTCTTTATAAAGTGTGTTATGTTTCGTTGATGCTTTTCTATTATTAAATCACCACACACGTAACAAAATATATCAGGACTGTTTTTACACTTTCTTGATGACATTATGGCTCGATAACAACTCATAAAACAAAATACAACTCGATGCTACAAAGAACTAACTAACTAACACTAACTACCTTTATTTACGCAATATACAACTGCCGATGTCGTCAAGTTGGCGGCATCGGCAGTGTTGCCATTCAAATGAAATTAACATAATGTATTAAAATATTTTCTTTCGAAATATAAGTATTTTAAAGAAATAATTTTAATGCGATTTACAAAATATCAATAAGGTACTTGTTTGCGCTAGTATATAATATCTTACAAGGTTTTTTTTATTTTATGAAAAAATTTGACGTGATCGGCTTAAACCGAATTCATATTCAGAATCAGCGTACCCGTATTAGCTAAGGACACAATATGTCAAACTCAAAACACCAAAAATCATGTCGGCCTGTGTTATTTGTTTTATTCAAAAAAATTGTAATTAACAAAAATGTACCCTTTGAAAAAATAAACAAAATGGTTTTTTCCAATTTTCTTTAAGGTAAGATCTTTTATGTAAGCTCTTCTTCGTCAAATTTTAAATCAGTTTCAGAGTCAACTTACGGAAAAACTATGTATTTTTCGAAAATAACTTATAGAAACTGATTTAAAGAATTTAAAAAGACCTACCTTAAAAACAAGTTTCTAGCACAAAAAATTTTCTTTATTTAAGTATTATTAATACATTCTAGAAGTTTCCCGGACATAGAATGATTATTAAAAAAATGGAGTTTAAAGCGAATAACGAATTTTTGAAGTTTAGCAAAAGTGCCCTTTCTCCAATATATAAAGATTAGAATTAGAGACACAAAAAATGTTGATTTCTAAAATTGTAGCTTTTTAATACCCAAGAACTTGGTTTGCGAAAATTTTTGGATAGAAAAAATTGAGTAACATATTGACAGATAAAACTTGTACTAATATGCAAATACTTTATCAACCCTTTTAAGTTCACCTTTTTTTTTAACTGAAGGTTGTAAATGGATTTGATATTATTAGCCTTGTAGCTCTTGTAAAAGCATACAAAATGCTTTTTTACAGAGCTTTCTAAGGTAAAAAACAAAAAAGTTATTGTTAAAAACCAATAAATTTTTTTTTGGAAAAAATAGAGAAATCCAATTGGAAGCATAATATTGTAAGTGGGAGGTGTTTTTTGTATTATGTACGTTAGAAACTTATATACACGCCTACACTTACTAATACTTGACTCATAGAACCATCAGATGGAATCAGATTTGCAGAAAATCTTTGTAGCAGAAGATGTCGACATACTTGTAATTTAAACTGCCAGAGTCAAAGAAGACAAGGTAATTTATTTCCTCATATCAGTAATATATTCTAGTAAAAGATTTGAAGTAGATTACCCAAACACTTCAAAATTAATAGTTTTTTCCATGCATTCACTGGATGTGACACTGTTTGGGTATTTTACAATAAAGGCAAAAATTTTTTTGACCTTTTAGAAAGAAGGTCGGATTTAAGAGAACAGGCAACCTGGATTAATGCATCCATTAAAAATAAAACAGTCGCCTGTTCCTGAAGAACTTTTAAAAATGATATTTTGTCACTATAAGAAAGATTGCAGTACCTCATGTAGCTGCAGAAAACTAGGTTTATTTTGTAACCCAACTTGCTCTGGTTGTTCTAGTGATAATTGCAGTAATAGTACTCTAATAATAGAAGATGACGAATAAGATGGTGAAAAAAGTGACGCGAATAGCGAAAATGAAGTTTTATATTTAATAATGTATAATATTGTAGCAGCAGCGACAGAGGAAATAGGAACAGAAATTTGTGCCCGTAGAAATCATTGGTTTGGCAATGAATGCAAGAATGCAACCGACGAACTAGGACAACTTTAGAGAATTACCAGAGATAGAGAATGGAAAAAAAGAGGATAGACAAAAGAAAAAAACGAAATCACCTAAAAAGGAACTTAAATATATGGAAAATTTTAACAGAGAGAAAGAATGCAGAACATTCTATAAGAAAGTTAACATCAACAGAAAAGGATTCAAGGCAACCACAAGACAATGTACAAGTCAGAATGGCGACCTATTACCAACAAGGAGAGATGAAAGCAATCATTTGTTATCTTACCTGCAAAAACTCGGTCATTTGAGCCTTAATCTCTGCTTCCGTGGTAGGCGTTTCGATCTGTTTTCTGATTTTCTTTATTCTTACATCTAACGCATTTATTTCGTTGTGAAGTTGTTCGACAGTTGTCCTAAAATTAAAAATTATGAGTATTCAGATAAGTTTAATAAAATAAAACCGATGTATACTAAAATTAAAACATAATGCAAAAAAAAATTAATAAAAGTAATGGATGATACTAGGAAAATGGAATTTTCCAAGTCCCGAAATTAAATTTCATATAACTATAACTTGGGTCACACTATTACTATTACTAAACGAAATGGGATCGTGATGTGATTTTTTATAGTTCTTCAAACTTCGTTCCCCATATTGTTAAGCTGACAAATAATGTATTGTGCTTTTTGGGGTTTATCTGTATATATTTATCTGTAACTATTTTGACTTCCCTATCACCGCTATTACATCTTTTACATTCTTCTTGTACAAAATGTGACCTATAAATATATTTATTTCTTGGAGTCCATTTTATGTGACCCTATGTGACCTATAAAATAAATTCTTAAAGACGTTCAGTTGGAGGTCTAATTGTAGATGTACATCTCTTGAAAAAAAGCGGAAATAAATCGAATCTTTGATATCTGTATAGTTATATATACACCGGTATTTAGGCGGCACCCCCTCCCGGTAGGGATCTATGGAAGAGTATCACCGAGACGCAAGCCCTTATCTCTTTCCGTACTGTTCCACCATAGGCCGATCAAACTCCAGCATATTCTAGTCTGAGTCGCAGATTCATCTAGAATTTTAAACTACTGCGTTAGCCTTTTTGTTTTCTGTACACCGAGCTGTAGATTGAACCCACATCCACTGAAACACTCGCAGTGAAGCGAATGAGAACCGGCCGCCCAGCCCGCTTGGCTATCTGACCGACATCTCCGTATAGTTAGAGTACTAAATTAATCTTTTTTTTTTATTTAAAATGATACTGATTACGTAAATTTACGCCACCTCCATCATTTCAGTTTTTAGTTCAGTTTCATTATAATAATTACGGTAAACATTCTTCATTAACATAATGCCAAAAACTAGATAATGCATTTTGTGGTCATTACGATTTGGCTGATGAAAACTGAGTACATTCAAGTCTTTTTGGCTAAGTATTTACATCAATTTTAACTACTTATAGCCCAGGGAAATAAGCATTTTTTCATGACACTCGTCTGGCCAGGAAAACGACAGTTGTTTTGAGTAGTATGGACCTCTGTAACAAAAACCTATATGTTTCCTGCAGTCGATTTTTTGGACTTAATTAGTTATTAACAAATTAAGGTAAAAAAAATGAAAATTTTTTGCTTTTTTTCGTCTATCAGCAAAAAGTGAAGCAATTTAAACAAATTTTAGAAGAGGAAACTTATAAAGAAGAAAGAGAAGTCGTATAAAAACCTTCAAAACGGCGTTTTTAAAATGTTTCTATCCTTATTTGATGCTTGGGAAGTTGCAAAATAGGTCAAACATTTCGTTTTTTTTTATAAATGTTAATAACTTTTTTGAAAAAAAAACTTATAACATTTATATGCTTAAAATATGGTCAAAATTTCAAAGTGATAGGTCAAATAGGTTAAAAGTTATTTTATTTGTTTATCCGAAATTAAAATTTTTTGCAACAATATAAGTCAGAAAATTATACAGTTTTAGTAATTATAAGGGTAGTTTCTGGAAGAAGAAGACTAAAAAATTTATTTTAAATATTGCAAAATAATTTTCCAAAAACATGACGATTTTTTGCTTATAAACAATTAGAATAACTTTTTAACCATTGACTGTAAGAATATTATTTTTTATATTTAAAAAGCCTAAATAGTTTTTACAAATTTAAATGAAAAAAAAATTGCCCTAAAATAATTTGGGACAAAGTTAGCCTCTTTTTTTATTTAATTCATAGCACCTTTTATTATATCACTTTAGAAATCTAATTAGCGCTATTTGAAAGAGCATACTTTATAGTTTTAAAGTACTAAAGTTTAAAAATATTACCCTTTAATGGAATCGTCCACAAAGCTTCAAAATGTGTGTAAAATAGGTCGACTTTGAAACTCGCGAGAGATGAAGGGAGGGGGAGGCGCTGTTAACTGTATCCCTGTTCCTTTTTTATGTATTTCAACATTTTTTTTGAACTTGTATGTACTTTTTGCGTACATTACGAATATGCATTATTTCAATAAATAAATTGTCAAATAAACCAACTAAATATTTTAAAAACAATTTTTTTTAGTTTTTGGGAAATAAGCCACCATTTAAGTTTATAATAAGTTTATTTTTGACGTTTCGATTTCTACTTCGGAAATCTTTCTCAAAATATAGAACATTATTAAATTAATCAAATTTTGTTTTTGGTTACTTGGTAGAAAATTTTTCTGATAACTCTTAATAGATCTGTAGATCTGTTATAGTAAAAATTAGAAAAAAAGTTACTGACAAAAATTGTAGGCAGCTGTAAACTCCACATTTTAAAAATAGTTACAATCTTACAGGGTGTTCTATAAGATGGTGGCAGACCAATCTTATAGATTGGTGGCAGACCAATGTTTTTTTAAATTAAACCTACTCTTCGTATTCAGTGATTAACGTCTCGACGAACGCCCGAACAATCTTTAGTTATGATCACTCATTTGCATTCGTAATTCCTCTTTCTTTAATTACCCAATATTTAGTTCCGTATATATATATATATATATATATATATATATATATATATATATATATATATATATATATATAAGCGAGGTTCCTACAGCCTCTGCCGCTTCTCGCATTTCGACCGCCATCGTTCTCTGTCTCTCTCTATCTCTCATTAGGTGTCATACATTTTCTTCCCAGGCAACTAAAGGTCTTCCCCTTCTTTTTCTTTGTTATGGTATGTAATTTAAAACTTTCTTTGGCCATCTATCTTCATTTATTTTCGCTTCACGTGACCATACCATACTAGTTGTCTCGTTTCAATTCTGTCTACACTGGAATATTTGTCCTCCTTCTAATATCTTCATTCCTGATATGATCTTTTTTGATACACCACACGATCTCCTTAGAAAATCCATTTCTACTAGTTCTATTCTTTTTCTATCTTTTTTCGTGATCTGCCAAACTTCTGCTCCATAAGTCCTAATAGGCTCTACCAAGGTTCGATAGATTGTCAATTTTGTTTCATGTCTAATATCTTTAGACCATAGTAGAGAGTTTAGAATGTTAACCGCTTTTTTTCCCTGCTGCGTCCTGTTTTCGATGTCTCTTTTGGCAGTGCCTTCTTTAGATATTATAGATCCGAGATATTTATATTCGTTGCATGTTTTTGTGTTTCTAATTTCTAACTCTGGATCTTCTTCGTCATCTCCTATTTTAAGATACTCTGTCTTTGACATATTCATATTGAGTAGTTCCGTATTTAATCACCCAAAGTATCACTCGCTTCTTTCCACTTCATCCATTTAACAAAGTAGCATAGATTTTTTTGAAACATTACCATTTTGTATATGATCAAAATTTAGAGTTCGGATACATCTTATTTTTTGCAGAAATCATCATAATATACTGCATCAAAATTGGAGTCGAAATATCTAGACCGAATCAAAATATTGTTAAATAAGTTAAATATAAAATTTCATTAAAATTATCATATCAAATTTTTTTTTTGTTTATTTCCATGTTTCCCCAACCCAATCAAAGAATTTTGTTAAGGAAAGTAGTGCAGATTTTTATTACAAATATTTCGGTAGCAATTCTATTATTTCACGGTTATTTTGTACGTCTATACTGTTTTTATTTACTTTTATAATTGAATTTATATTAAGTTTGTGTTTTTTTGGTTAGGTTAAATTAAATTTTGTATTCCTATTTTGTTAAGGGGACATCTCATGAATCATCACCATCACGGTGCTACAGGCTCAAGCACTTCTCAAGTTTTCTGCGCCATTCTGCTTTGTCCTGCTTACATCTTGTGAATAAATAAATAAACAAATAGTTACAGTTCATCATAATTTGAAATTGTAAATTGACATTTACAAAGTAACATTATTTTTAACTTTATTGTTAACGTAGATAATATTTTACTTACTTAGCAGCATCTTCTAATACATTAGTGTTGTCTGTAAAGGAAAGCAATTTTTTGTTTTTCTTTTCTGCTTGCTAAAATTTAAATAAATAATTAAATCCAAATTGTATTAAATATGTATTAACAGAACTTACCAATGCAACAAAATGTATGAGATTCATATTTGGTTTGTTAGCTCTAATATCAGTTATTTTTTGCAATGAAGTCAATTTCACTCCAGCAGCACCACCAGCATAACCTCCCTATAAAACAGGATTATTAGAGTAATAAATTTTATTTTATAAATACAGTTAAATTAGTAACATCATTGATAAGAACTAAAAAAAATCGTAAGCTAAAATAATACTATCTTCGAACATTTCTTGATCATATCCTTTTCCTTAGTTCTTTATTTTTGACCTGTGTTATTATACCATGTGTTACGACCACCCTAACATATTTCTTTATCGACAATACATAATACAGCTCTGTAATATATTTACTTTTTCATAAAAAATCCAGTTTCGTTAAATGTCTTAAATGTAAATTTTTCCATTTCATATACTCTAAAAAATATTATTTACATAATATCTGAAGCACCTCTAAAACTAGGTAATATCTTATTTTAAGATCATAAAAAACAATTTAACTGAACCTTTCTATAAACCTGCATTTTTATTGTGCTATTCTTACTAAAAGAGTTTTTTAATAGCCGGTCGTGAAAATTTGTATTGCTTTTTAAATTTACAAAACTAGAAAGCCATAAAAATATTGTAAAGCCTGTTTACCTGCCCGCAAAGACATAACCATATCGCACTCCTCAGTTGACACATATACTTCTCACCAAATAAAGTAATTCGCTCTCTCTATATATTAAACTTCCATACTCTTTTGCATATCAAAGTAGTTATTTAAAATCAGTTACAAATACTCTATCTTCTATTTTCGTAATGTGACTAAGTAGTTTTATGGTCTTGTAGTTTATGCACGGTAGTATATATTCCTTGTTTTTGTAAACATTTACTAATGTATTGCTTCTCCATTCATCTGAAATTTGCCCCATTTTTATAATTCTATTAAATAAACCTGTTAGCTAATTTATTCCTGTCTCTCTGTGCACACTTCCCGGGAATATCATCTGGTCTAACTGCGTTACCTTTTTTTACGTTACCAAGTGCTTGAACCACTTCTCTCTCTCTCTCTTCAGTCCTGACCCTCGGGAGGGATTGTAGCGGTCATGGTGATGTTGTGTATTCAAAGATATCTGTCTCTGTTTATTTTCTTTAAGCTCATGCATAGGTCTTTTGCACATTCCTGTAATTTGGTCGATCCATCTTGTTGGAATTCTTTCCCATGATCTTCAGCCTTCAACTTGTCCTTGAATAATCTACTGAGTCTACTCTAATAATATGTCCAAAGTATTTTAATTGTTGGAGATTTGGACTTTGAGGGAGAGCCGTTTGCTGACCTTAAGCTCATTTTAAATTGAATTATTTGTCCTGTGGTCGCTCCAAGGAATTCTTCTCCAACAAAACATTGCAGTGGTGTCTATCTTTCTTCTTTAAGCTTGTCGTAGTGTCCAGGATTCACATCCGTATGTTAGTATTGGAAATATTAAGCAGTTGGTCAAGCTCATAGTTTAGCGATCTCTAGATCACATTTACGTTTTATTTCTTCCTGTAAGTATGATCTCACAACCTCAAACCGGTCAATCGTGGTTATGTGTGGATGATTATTATAAAGTCTATCCACTATCATATATGTTTAACTGCAGACCAAATATTTGGTTTTAGTTTTTAACCAGTCGAATAAGATTAATTAACTCTTCTTGACTATTTGCAAGGAGGCAAGAAGTCATATATTTAACCCCCAGGTATCTAAACTTTCCAAGCGTTTCAATGTCATCTTAATGTATAATTTTTTGTGGGACTATATTTTTCCTCGTCTATATCATTCCTTTTTGTTTTTTCTGTGTTAATTTCCAGACCCAACCTCTTTGTTTGCGTTTTTAACTCTGTGTATATTTCCTGTGCTCCTGTTGATGTTCTACTCATAATAATAATATCATTGGCATAAGCGGCCAGTTGAACGGTTTTGTTGGTCAATAGGTTTCCTCATCGAATTTGCAGTTGCCTAACCGCATACTCCATTGCCAGGTTAAACAACAGCTCATCTCCCTGCTTTAGTCCCTACCAAATTTTGAAAAATTCTGTCCCGTGGTTTTGTAATCGTACACATGCCTGAGTTTCATCCATTGTGGTAATAAGTAATAAGTCTAATTAGCTTGTGTGGTCAATATATTGTAAAGTTTGTTCCTTTTGACTGAGTCGTATGCCTGTTTGAAGTCTATAAACACATTGTGAACATCAATGTCATGTTCCCATGATTTACTCAAGATCTGTTTGACTGTAAATATTTGATCCAGTCTCGATCTTCCCCGTCAAAAACCCGTCTGATACTCTCCAATAATATTTTCTGTAATATTTTCTGCTAGTTGTTAGAGCTGTTGGTTTAGTGAGGACTTTATATGCTGTATATAGTGGAGAAATTCCACGGTAGTTTTTGCACTGGAGTTTGTCCCCTTTTTTTATAGATCGGGCATATTATATTTTTCTTCCAGTCGTCGGGTATTTTCTCTTCTTGCCATTTGTCTTTGATGAGCGCATGGATGTGACTTGCTAGGTGGTCGCCACCTAGCTTATACAATTCTGCTGGTATTTCGTCGACTCCCGGGGCTTTATTGTTTTTTTTTTGGGCTTAATAGCTTCGAGAACTTCCTTTATGGTTGGAGCTTCTACACCATTCTCTACTTCATTCTTTTATACATAGTTCGTACCCATTTCATCTTCCGTGTCTATTTGTGTACCAAGTAGGGTCTGAAAATAATGCTTCCAAGTTTCTGTAACTTTCTGTTGGCCACTGATTATTTGCCCACTTTCATCTTTACATATACTTGTTTGAGGTTTGTACCCACTTTTTATTTTTTTAGGTATTAGTAAGTCCCTCTAATTTAGTTGTTTTTGAAATTTTCTTCAATTTTTTCTATTTGTCCATTTTCATAGGCTCTTTTTTTATTTCTACATATATTGTCTGCTTTCCGTCTTGCGACTTCAAATGAAGTTCGTCTTTCCCGTGTTCTTGTTATTAACATTTTGTGTACTTTATTTCTAACCTATGTTGCTTGGCTGCACTCGTCATTGAACAATGCTCCTCTTCTAGCCTTTTTCTTGTTTTCCATGGTGGACGCTGCCACTTTCAGTACTGCTGCTTTGATATTATTCCATTTGCCCTCTATGGAGTGCAGTTCTAGCGTCCTTAACCCATTTGCAACTTCTTCTTCGACCATCTCTTTACCTTCCTGAATATTCAGTTTTTCCAGGTCCAGTTTGTTTGTTTTTTGTTGTCTTTAGTTTCTTTCTTTGTTAACTTTGCATCTAAATTTAATGATCGATTTGATTGGTTGTGGTTCCATCTGGTGAAATCCATGTCATTTTGTGTATGTCTTTATGTGGGAAGCACGTGGAACTTACAACTATGTTTTTACTGGTGGCAAAATTTATCAAAAGCATATCACCCATTATAATATTGATGTCATTTTTGGGCGCATTGTCATATACTATCTCCAGCTTTTGGTAGAAGCTTTTCCTTTGTATGTTGTTCTTGTTCTTCTGTTGGACAGTGAATGTTTATCATTGTTGGGTTAAAGAAGTGAATGCAAATTTTAACTTGCATATCTTTTCACTGACTGCCTGGAAGTCTATGATTTTTACTTAAAATCATTATCTACTACAAATGCAGCTTCACACTCTTTGCTTCCTTGTTCCTTTCCACTATATAGAATTGTGTGCGTTTTAGTGTCCCTGACACCTTTCCCCAGCCATGTTGTCTCCTGAAGAGAAGTAATCATGAGCTTATATCTTTTTAGTTCTTGCAGTTCCATTCCAGTTTTCAAATATATAGTCCATGTTTCGTAGTTTAAGTCGTTTCCAAAAGTTCTGTCCTGTATTCCGAGGCGAATGTTCGGGTTTCGTAACAGTATGTTTTTTTTGGGAGTGAATTGTCAGTCCACTGCCCAACCTTCCTCCTTTACCCGGGCTTAGGATCGACAGTGGTGACTCCTGAGCTACCGATCTACCCATTTGTCACCACAGGCGGAGTTGAGATGATTCTATGGTTGTCGCATTTATGTAAGGTGCCTTTTTCATGTATTTTAGTTACTGTAGATTTTGTCCAGTCGTCGGATCATTGTTAGGAATGCCATATTTTGTTACAGAGCAAATGAAGCAATAAAAATTTCAGTAGATTTCATAAACAGTAATTTCAATGTAATTTATGCAAGAGGGGAAAAATACACAATCATAAGATAAGCAAAGATGAAATTTAAAAATGATTTAACGATTTAAAAAAGATAAGCAGAAGTTGGAGTGTATCTCCGACATGTTCCTACCCTTATAAAAAAAAACATTAAAACGATTATCATGAAGAAAGATCGTTTCCTAAAACCCATTTTGTGATACCTACCTACATATAGTGCAACATTATAAATGTAAACATTTTTTCGAAGATTATGATAAGAAATATGAAAAGCCTATGAAAAAATATAAATATTTGTAATATATATTAATATATATTTAATATAAATTTAAAACTTACCGAGTTCAGGAAATTTCCGGATATGAGTACCATATACAGAACTTCTTGTAAGGGTTTGTTCGTCATTAAGTCTAAAAATGCAGTTGTGTTAAAAAATATATCATATTTATCAACTAAAGAACCTAATTGCTAAAGAGTTCAAAAATGTATTTATTATTACATGTTAAAGTTGAAATAAATGATCTATGTCTGTAACTACTTTTAGTTTTTAAGAATAAATAACATTTATAAATAAAAATACTTCATATTTGATTTCTATTACCATTTTGGAACTCGTTATCGTAAAAAGAATAAAATACATATCTCAATTGTGTTTTTAAAATAAGGGACACTAAATTTTTATAATAAGGAGAGGGCTTCAGAAAATTGCATTAATTTTTTATCAATATCAATAGAAAACTTTCCCATATTTTCGATTTTCGGTACTATCTCGGTACTTCTCTCCATTTTTTTCTGTTCCTTTTTTTGTTTTCTCAGTCTGGTCCTCTAATAATTGAATACCGGTTTTACATCTTCCAACCCTTTCTTTTTTGGCCTTCTTCGCTTTCTTCACTCACCTAACATCAATATTTTTGTGATGTTTTCCAGATCTTATTTTATTGTACATAGTTCCTTCTTAATTGCTGTAGTCAGTAGTACATTAATAGCGAAGCTATGGTTGTTAAAATATTTTTAAAATTGTAAATAGTTTGAGTGAGTTTACATCCCCTTGTCTTACCACTCTATAAATTTTAATTGATTCTTTGTTTGCAGAGCAGCAAAGATTTGATATCCTTATTAAATAAATAATTTCTATATTTAAAGCTGTTTTATCGGTGCACCAAAACCTAGGGACAGTGTTTTCTCTGTTATTTACCGACAAAATGTCTCGAAATTTGGGCACGTTATTCGAAATTATGTTGTCTTTAAAATGATGATTTTACTTTTTTTTTTATTTTTTTGAAACTTCTGTTGAAAAATTGGATTATACTGTTTAACGTTCTATTATAACCAAAATTTTTACACCCATCACTTGAAAGAGTTTCTTTTCTGTAATCGTTGATTTTTTCACCTTTCTGTATCCAGTAATATTCGAGAAAATCGTGTTCCAACTTTGAAGAAAATTGCTAAAAAATACTAAAATCTAATAGTGAAATGTATTAGTCATCGTTGGCGCTTTGTTTCATCGTTATCGCCTTCGTGACGTCAAATCTCATAAACGTATGATCAGTTAGTTCGCTTGAATCAGAATTCATTTTCAGTTATTCATTTTTGTATTTTCTTCATCAACTTTACACTATTCTTGGTTATTTTGAAAATATTAAAATTATTTAGTTTACGGGTATGTGTAAGTAATATATTATTAGTTTAGTGGTATAAGTTACAAGTTATTTAGTTTACGCGTATTTTTAAGTATTATATTAGTTTAGTGATATAAATTATAAGTGACAAGATAAGAAATGAGTCCCAGTGAATGGCCAATTTTTTATAGTTAAATAAAAATATTTTTTGTTTTATTTTTACTAGGCTAATATCAGTTTTCTCTAACAAATAAATAACTTCTTGAGATCATTTTCAAGCTATAACTGCGAAATTGTTTATTTGTTTGTGACAACAAATTGTAATTTTTTTGATAGTAATATTTTTTATGTTTTTTAAATTTATTATAAATAAACACCATGATGTTTTTTGCAGTCACCTTTCACAAATTTTTATTCAATACTATATTTAGCTAAGACATATAAATTAAAAATGTAATAATTCTTTTTAAAACATTATCTACGATAATCCATAAAAAGGTATTCCCGACAAATCTAGTTTGAATGGAGAATATTGCATTTGTTGCCATTAAACTACCCGTTGGCCGGCGCCACTGAGTAAAGATGGTCTCGAGTAAGCAGTGTAGAAAAGTAAGTGATACGCCCATTTAAATCGCAGTGTGCTTTAACTGCTAAAACAGCCTTAACAATATGGCTCACAGAGGTAGTATTAAATAAGAATTTAAGTAATACCCAAAAAAGTAAACTGACTTAAACCTATTAGAATCAATTTAATTCCAAATAATATTTTTATGTTTTTTATTCTTTGTTTATTTTTTAATAATTTAACAAACTAGAATGGACTTTAAATTTTAAATTTTTATTCGTATTTCCTCTATATTTATCACGTTTTTGACGCGCCATATAGGTACTTAAAGATTTCAAAACACATATATTTTAAATAGACATATTACCTTGTGCGGCGCTTATCATTGAGTTGATGCTAGGTTGCAAGTATCCCATATTCGACGCGAACTCCTCTTTCAGTAACATACTTTCTATTCGCAACTTGTAACTGAAACAAAAAAATAATAAAATAATACGAGATTTATCTACAATAATAAAGCAAAGGTAAAAATATATTTTTAGTCTTAAAATACATATAAAGTACTATTACCATATATGACCAGATCATCATCATTCTCTTTGCTTTTATCCCTATGCGGGGTCGGTTTCCCTAATCATATTTCTTCATAAATTTGATCCTTGGGTCATATCAATATTAATACCCTTTACCGACATGTCCTGCCTAAGCGTCTCCCCCAGGTCTTTTTTGGCCTTTCTCCCAAACCATCTAAACTTATGCTCTTTTATCTTGGCAAAAATAATTGGGCCATTCCTAAACTACCTCTAATATACTCATTATTAATTTTATCTTTTTTTGTCATTCCACTCATCCATCTAAGCATTCTCATTTTTTTTTTACTAAACAACATTTAGTTTCATATATCATAGCTGGTCTTCTTGTTTTTCCTTCATCCTCTTTATAAGCAGTTCTGCTTGTCCATTGGAGGATTATTACCTCTATGGAAGGTTGTCACTCCATCTTTTGCACGGTTGTCCGATACTTCTGCCGATTGGTGAATTATCTCTTGCCATTTTGATGACGCGAGTCTCCCCCATTCTGCTTATGTGGTTATTCCATTCTGTTTTTCTATTTTGTGTCTATTCATTTATACACTGTACGTTACATTTTCTTCTAATGTCTTCACTTCTCTTTCGATCTTTCAGCGTATTTCCTGTAGTTCTTCTCAGTACTCTCATCTCTGCAGTTTCCAGTAGCCTTTGCGTTGTAACTGTGTCGGGTCTTGTTTCTGAGGCATACGTCATTATTGGTCTTAGACTGGCTTTATAAATTCTTGAATTCATCTCAGTGGTAATCTGTCTGTGTCGTCATATAGTGTTACTAAGGCATCCTGCCAGTCTATTTGCTTTTTGTACTTGATCTCTTTTTTCTTTGTTCAGGTCTCCATAGCTAGACAGTGCAATTCCCAGGTATTTTATTTCCATTACTTGTTTAATACTAATGCCATCAATTTCTATTTTACATCTGGTTGGTTCTTTGCTCACTACTATTGTTTTAGTTTTCTGAGATAAGATTGTCATATTAAATTCTTTTGCCCTTGTGTTAAATCTGTGGACCAGTCTTTGCAGTAACAGAGTATTTTTATTTCTTTGTTTCCCATTCTGTATTCTCTTGGTTTGTTAACGCTTTTGATGCTTTCATCCATGCTCAAAGTTGTCCATCTATTCTGACTTCCATTTTGTTGTTTTTGTAGATGTTTTCGATAGTTTTTATAATATTTAGTGGGACCTTTTCTATTATACAGAATATGGATTACATTTTTGAGTTGTACTCTGTCAAAAGCTTTGTTTAAATCAATCAGACACAGAAATGCTGGTCTCTTATACACTAGTGATTTCTCAGTAATTAGCTTTATAACGAATATTGCATCTGTACACAATCTTCAACTACGAAAACTCTGTTGTTCATCTGCCAAACTTATCCTCTGACTTATTAGCACTTGTAAAATTTTAGTTGTAAGTTTTAGCGTAGTATTTAACAAGTTTTTGTCTCTGTAATTTTCTGGCTGTTTTTTATCTCCCTAGCTTTTGTTTATTCCTGTATTTTTCCATTAACTGACAATAGGTGCTCCACTGAAATTACACTGTGGTATCCAAGAGGCGTCAAGAGATCAAGAAGACGTCCAAATTTAAGATTGGACTATGACATAAGGAACAAGCCGGTACAACATGGCAAAGAAAAGAGCATTTTAGACAATCGTGGGCAAATATGAAGGATGCATATGTAAGGGAGGCTACACCATAATTGGTAGAATATGCTGAGAATGATGATGATGATGACGATGATGATAATGATATATTCTTTAACATTAGAATATCAGCGGATTACTTTGGACACATCTCAAATTTTCTTTCCCCTAAATTGAAATTTAAAAAATAATTTTAGGGAAAACTTACTTTGAAAGATTAGTTAATTGAATTAAAAACTTTTCTGCATTTCCTAATTTGTTAAAATCTCCATTAAACGACTTTAACATGTCTAATTCATCTACTTCCGGTAATAGTTTCAACAACCCTTTTAGCTTTTCGGTACCAATTTCATCGTGTTCGCCATTTTTTATTAATTGAATTATATCTTCATTGGAACTAAAAAGTAAAACATAAATATTTAGGTTTATAATATAAACAATAAATTATAAAACTAACCTTCTAAACTGCTTAAGGAATATATTAACATTTAAGCTCCTCTTTCCGTCCAAAAGGGTGATCTGAAAATATTTTATCAAGAATAATATTAATATTAGTTTCAAAATAGAAGTTAGATCTTTTTATTTTAAATAAAAAAAGTGTAAAACAAATTATTATTTTAAAATTAATATATCAAATATGTACTATATAGGTACAGTATCTGAAATAATACAGAATAATAAGTAGAGTAAGTATAGTAAAAGAAACAGTAGGTATGCGTTTTCAACCGGAGGAACTGACAGATTCATGTTAAGTCTCCAAAGGGACCAATCACGACACAGATTGTTACTTTGGCTGGCCAATCACAAAGCTCGTTATTAACTGCTTTGTCATTGGCCTCCCAGCGGAAGATTGCTGCGAATTCTCAAATACAAAGTGTACAAAAGAGCAGCACATCTTCCGATCAGGATCTAGTCGTCTTACAATACGAGCCCCGTTAGACCTTGATGGCTTGGTGCCACTACCACTACTACTTTGGGTTTTATTATTAATTGAGTAACGAATTTTCGTCGAAGAACAAAAAGAAGACTTCATCATTCACTCTAGTTATACCTCCAGAATATGTCAGTATATTTTGTTTGATAGTTGTGATGAGTCTAGTTTTTATATTAAGTTCTGCTAGAATTGAGTTATTTGTGCGATGGGCGGTCCATGGTATGCGCAACATTCTAAGGTAAACCCACATTTCAAATGTCATTATACGCTTTGAATCGGTTTTTTTATTGTCCAAGTTTCTAAAGCATATGTGACGATAGGAAATATCAATACTCGAACAAAGCGTAATTTTGTGTTTTTTGTGATGTCAGTGTTCTTCCAAATTTTTGTGAGTTTAACTGTTGCCGATATAGCCATTGTGATGCGTCGATGGATCTCGTCTTCGCATCCTTCACTGTTAGTAATAACGGAGCCTGAGTAATTAAATTGCCTGACCCCTCTGTGACCTGCCATGTTTCTTATCTCGGCTTGGTTATTTCTGATTCTATCGATGATCATCACTTTGGTTTTCTGCATATTTATTTTCAAGTTATATTTCGTACTCACCGTGCCTAGCCTATTTTGTTCCAGTTCTTTTGGTGATGACGCCAATATAACAGTGTCATCAGCATAACGTAGGTTTTTGATTCTTCTTCCTCCTATCGTTGCTACACCTTGCCATTCCTCAAAAACTTGACGTATAATATGTTCACTGTATGGATTGAATAGAATAGGGGATATTATGCATTCCTGTCGAACTCCAGATTTTAATTTGAAGTTTTTCGAAACCACTTTATTAACTCTTAGATTAGCAGTATTATTTACATATAGTTTTTGTAATCAATAGATTAGATGTTCTGGAGTACCGATTTCTCTAAGTATATGCCACATTATCCCATTTTACTATATCAAAGGCTTTGGAATAGTCAACAAAGCATATTAAGAATATGTTCTCTCGTTCCTCTACCTGGGACGAATCCGCATTGTTCTTGGGAAATTTGTGGTAAAAGAATTGATTTTAGTCTTTCATTGATAATGGTTAAAAGTACTTTGCTCGCGTGTGACATCAATGCTACTGTGCGGTAATTACTGCAATCTGTCGGTGAACCTTTTTTATGTATAGCAATAAACGTGAGTTTATCCCAGTAATTTGGCCACTTTTCGGTATTCCAAATCTCATTGCAAATTCTAAGCATTACTTCCGTCCCTAATTCTCCCATTTCTTTGAGTGTTTCAGTTGTTATTCCATGTTCTCCTTCTGCTTTTCTAGATTTTAGCTTTTTAATTGCCGCCTCTCCAATTTCAATATTTGAGGTTCTTTTTCATAACTTCTTTTTTCTGTATCATTGTCTAGGTCGTTGTTAGAGAATAGTATTTCGCAATATTGTTTCAACATCTCTGCGATACCGTCTGTGTTTGTTATATTTCCACTACTATCTTTGATGATCTGTATTTGCGGTTAGAATTCTCTCGCTAGATATTTGACTTTTGAGAAAAGTTCTCTAGATTCTTGGCGGTTAGCATGTTTCTCTAGTTGTACACATATGTTTTTAATATAATTATTTTTGTCCCTTCTGCTCAAGTGTTTTATAGTTGTAGTTATGGTGTGTATGTCTATTTATTTTTGTTTTGAATTTGATGTGCCGTTTCTACATTTTCGTCTTTTTTCTACAAGATTGAGAGTCTCTTCAGTCATCCAATGTTTTTTCCCAGCTGTTTTGTCTTTGGGATTAGTATTGTTGATAGCTTCAGTGATCCACTTCTTTGTGTATTCCCATGTTTTGTCAGGGTCTCCGGTAGTCACTGGTAGGTTAGCTTCTGCTAATGCTTCTGCCAGATAGACACGACCATTGAAATAGGAAAAGACAGTGGTCTTTAAAAGTATTTCTGATCGTGTCGGACTGACAAAGCGTTCGTTAGGACCAATGACGATAAAGAGCAAATAAAAGCCCAAAGCAGGCTTGGAATTGCTTTTCCACTCAGTGGCCGAGATGCGATAACGCTTTGTTGCCAGAAACCTTACGTAAATAGTAACCATTGTTACATGATCAACCATATTGTTTGCGAAATGTAGTGACATGAAGCGAGGGGCAGTAGAAGAGTCAAAACTCGGTATTCTTGTGCCTTCGAGGAGAGTGAACTTGGCCACACAGTGAGGTGCGAAGTGCCGGAATCTCTGTGGAATTCGAGCTATACACTGTGTCCAGAAGACTAAGCATATATTTAGATTCATGTAAGATAAAGTCATTGTAAGAAAGTCAAACTGTTAAAGTATTCTGGTTGCCGGTGTGCCTTCGTTGATCACAGAGGCCCGGCAAACTTCTCGCAACGCACTTTGCCCAACTCACATTAAACTACAAGAACACGGCGATGGAGTCGAAAACTTACGATCCTTCTCCAGAGCGGCGATCGTAGAGCGTCAGAAAGCTACAAATACCATGGAGGACGCTACGGCCGTACGACCATTAAAACGATATAGCTACTTTAGTAGGCCGGAAAACCGAACCAATTCGTTTCTTAGGTATGTTTCTGTAAGGGCAGCGTTATCAGGTCATCGAAGTCAGAAAATCGTATGCTGCTGTTCAAGTTACTGTATTTATTTATATTCTATTAAACAAGAAATTAACAAAGTAGAACACAATACACGGTTCGGACGATCGACAAAAGATTAATACTGATAACCTTTTTGATGAGTTGTCACTTACTAAGACATATAGTATCAAAGAATGAAGAATGGAATTCGACGACAATGCAAATTGAGTATGTTGACAAATGGGTTTAACTATTCAACTATTTAACCTACCAGGAACTCCGCTCCATTAGTTAGAGCATGTCTTCTTGATGATGAAACATATTGCGTCGGAAGCTAGAGGCTGCATGTTGGAGTCTATCGTACAAGCACTACTGTATTGTAGTGTATAATTAACTTTTAATCAAAAAATTAATAAAAAAAACAGAAAAAAGTACATATAAGTGAGAAGTACGAATGGTACAAAAAATAGATATTTAATTAATAAAAACTTTTTACAGCAGCTTAATTGGTTTTTTTTCTACTTTACCCTATCCACCATTTACTGTCCTGGTTAAAAGTTTCATAATTATGATAAGCTTAGCCATATATCTTTTGACCAATTGCTATTAATTATGAGCATTTTTAAGAATAAACGGTGTACATAACATAGTACGTACGTAAAATAGTAGTATGGTACGGGGGTGTAAGAAGTGTGCGGATCTTCTTACAGGTTTTAAATAAGTAGAAATTAGTTGAGTAGATTTTATATACCTAATATAAATTATATATAATTTTGTCGATGATAAAAAATACGGCAAAACATTTACCTCTGTCGTATCCTTGCGCATTCTTCGTTCCAAATTATCAGATGAGTCTCTATGTCCTAACTTTGGAGATGAATGTGCTGATGGTGGGGCTTGTTGACAAAATAAACCTTCCATTTCTGACCAGTCCATATCAGCCATGGGGGAGTGTTGATGTGAGTACGCTACTTGTGTCCAAATATTCTTTTTTCCTACTACCTGTGGACAGTCATTAATTATATTTAAGAGGTAATTACTATACTAAAGATTTTTAAATCATGTCTGGTGATCGTCTAAAATACTTGTGTTCTACTGTTTTTGTTAACTAATTTCATTGCAGAGTTCACGTAAGGGATATATGCCATAAAAGTGAATCGTCTCCTAATAAACAATTTGTCACCTGCCGACATCATGGCGAAAGATACTAGTTTTGAGGACTGGCATTGTTTGTCAACAGAAAATGATCCACAATACATCTACTGGGTTTAAAAATTGGCATCACGAAAATGAAGGTTTTTATATTAAACATAGATACTAGAACTACCTAGATATCTAAATTAGCAGCAATACCTCTATCTCTACTTATATTATATAAAAAGTGGAAGCGAGAGAGAAGGCTAAATGTCAAAAGTATTAATATATTTGAAATGTGGCTGTACAAGAATGTTTCAATATAATTAAAAAAAAAATAACCAGAGCCTTTTGTTTGGCGATAATCAAATAATTTTAGCAAAAGACAAAGACGACATCGTCTACACGATGAAAAAACTGGAAGAAGAATTTGGAAGATGGTATTTAGAAATTAATTCTGATAAAATTCTGACACACATAGTCATTGATAAAAATACTTGGGGGGGGGAGGGGGTATATAAAGCATCAGATGAAAAAACTGCAGATTAAGCCTAATGGTCAAATTGAGAACGAATTAGAGGACTAATGAATGTGAAGGCGATATTAAACGACGAAATAAAAAAATAAAAATTACTCTGGTCTGCGACAACATATGCGAAGGATACACGAGACAAGAATATTGCTCGTGTATCCTTCAGCAATACAACTGGAAGTGAAATCCGAATAAAAGCAGAAAAGAGAACGTCCCATATTACAGTGGAATGGAAAAATATGAAAAGTAGTGATTACCTACCAGAGACAGAAAAAAGATAAAAGCAACGAAAATGGATGTAATAAGGCCAACGTTAAGAGGTTAAAGAAGGGAGGGAATAAGAAATAAAGAAATCAGGGAACGCATAGGAATAGAAGGTAAAATAATGGATGACATATACAAAAAGCAGCTCACACGGTACGTTAATGTACAGCAAAAAATAGACTCTCAAAACAAGTACTCGTATGAACACCCACAGGAAGACAGAAAAGAGGAAGAGCAAAGACAACATGGATGACAGGAGTAAAAAATTAATGAACTCCAAAGGACTTAAAGACGGACAATGGAACAACCGCTGAACTACTGAACAGTACAGTACATTAGTGAACAACGCGAGTCCTCGGAAGCCCTGATGAAAGCATCAGAGAGGATGTTGAAATCTCGGTGCAGTGAAAATCGACGCAGTTCAGTAAAGCAGCCTGGTGAGTTTGATATTAATGAAGGTAATAATATTAATCTTAAATTGTATCTCTATTAAAATAACATCATGATTGATGGGCATTTTCAAGGTATCTCTGCGGTTTCTAGTATTTTTTTTTAATGCCACTGAATGTAGAAGTACATACCACTGAGAAAGACCTGAATTAAGATGTAGATAGCACTACTGACTGAAGGACATCTAAGACTGGACAAGCCAGGCTCGAACATAGACAGGTAAGAATTTGTAAAAATTATTGCCAATCTGTGATTAACAGGATAAGATAAAAGTGTAGTAACAAAAGCTGAGAATTAAAAAAAATATATACAGAATGATAAAACGTATATAAATGATTAAATATTTAAGTACATTATGAAAACAAACAAGAATTCAGACTAAAGGTCAGATATATTATTAAATTTAGAAAGGATCATGATCATCATTATAGTATTACATCTATAGAATCTCGACCTTCCCAAGTTCTCTGCGCCATTCTGCTCTGTATCTTACTTGGGTTTTCCAGTTAGTTGCATGATCTCAGCATCCTGTGGTACGCCGTCTGTCTTTCTTAGCTTTGGTCTGCCCCGTCTTCTTATTCCCACTGATTGCGCTGTTAAAATCCTGTTCATGTTCGAGTTTGGGGTCCGTGCTACATGTCCTGCTCACTGCAGACAGTTTCGTTTGATTATGGTGGTAATATAATTATAGATATTGTGTCGTCCACCTATATATATATATATATATATATATATATATATATATATATTATATATATATATATATATATATATATATGCTTCCATATTCCGTTTTCACAGACCGCTCCGAATATTTTGTGTACAGATGATTCGTTGATTTTGATTTTTTGAGACAGATTAGCTATATACTTTGATATAACATGATAACAATTATTTTCAATTATGATACACATTTTCATTTGCCCTGATGATCTACGTCAACATTTTCAGATCTCGTTTTTGTGTTGTCGGCATAATTTTGTCTTTTTATTTATATGTAATTCCATAAGTTCTGCTACTCCTATTAGGTCGGTTAGGATTCCCGTCCTCAACATACGTAGACGCACTTAGCAGATTTAATTTTAGAAATCACTTTAATCTAAGCTTCTCTTTGTTTTAACTGTTTACATAAATCTAAGGACCAGAAAAACAATAACCTACAGTGAAATTTGAAAATAGAGATTTTATTTTTTTTATATAAAGTAGAATTTTTATTTTATTTTATTCTATTTTATATAAAGTAGAACTTACTTTATTGTTTGGTATCTTGTTCCAATTAATGGTCTTCATCTTCGTTTTTGGTGCGGGTATTTCTTGTTGGGGTAATTTTTCTATCACAGCATCAGTTTCAGTTTGTGAGGCAGCTGGAGTTTTGGTTTTTAATTGATGAGGTGGGGGAACGGGAGCGGGAGGTGGTATACACGGAGGTGGCGGTATTATGGGCGGTGGAGGTGGTGGTGGAGGTAGTGCGGGTCCTGAAATAAAGAATATACATACATATACATACAGTTACACCAGCTGTGTAATATTTAAATAATATTTTATTTACTTATTTATATAATCATTTATTCTATTTATAACTTTCCATATAACTATGCATTGGGTGTGAAATATCCGAAAAAGTATGAAGATTTGGAGGGGCGTTAGAAATTAGCGTATATTTTTATTTTTATTATTTAACGCTTACTCTGAGGAAATCGTAGGGGAAGCTACTTAATACAGAGAACAATATGGATTCTTCCTCAACATAAAAAACCGAGTTCATCAAAATTAATGTTCTTGATAAGAAGATTAACAAAGACTTCAAAGATTTAAATTAAGTGTTTATTGGTTATTCTACATCAAACTTTGCTCTATCCTTTTAAGAAGCGTTGTGCACTTCTACTTTCTTTCGGTTTGTTATTTGATATTTATTTAGATAGTCCATTTTCATCCATTCTATTTATATGTTGTTTTCATTTCTGTCTGTAATAATTAATTTTCTCATTGCTTTCGTACTAGTTCAGTTTTTATCCTAGGTCTAAATTTCTCATCATCAAGTGTCATAATGCCTTTCTCTCTTCTTAGACACCTGATTTCGCTAGCTTTGATTCTAGGGTTACCTCTTTGTGACATTAGTTTTCATATCTATGTAAGAGATTATATCTGGCCATTGTCTTATCTGGCATATATATATATATATATATATATATATATATATATATATATATATATATATATATATATATATATATATATAGATACTTCGAATTTGTAATCAATGTGTTTTTATGATGAATCGGTGGACCATGTGAGTCCATTTTAATAAGGTTAAAGATATAAATATTTGTTCCTTCTATACAGTCTTCCACACAATCAGTTTATTGTACTTTGGACGACCCGTTTCGGTTACACTTAACTTTGCTGTTCATTGTCTGGTCTCCGTAAAAGTTACTTAAATGCTAAAGAAATACTTGGAAGTATGATTAAACAGAAATAGAAATAAAAGCAGGAATAGGTATAGTGATAGGAATAGGATTATGAATAGAAATAGGAAAAGGCGATAGGAATAGGAATAGGAATAGGAATATGAATAGGAATATGAATAGGAATATGAATAGGAATGGGAATAGGAATATAAATGTGATTAGGAATGGGAATAGAAATCAGAACAAGAATGGGAATAGGAATTGGAATAGTAATGGAAATATAAATAAGGACAGTATATTCTTAATATATTTCCATTCCCTTTATCTGCTTAACGGGTAGATACTTCTTTGCTATCCTGGCAGAGAACAAATCTACTTCAGGAATAACAAACCTGCCTACGCAAACTCATGGTTTTTCCCCCAAATATCTTTCTCCCTAAAGAATCGTATCACGACCGATAACATTCATATACGTCTTTTTTTCTAGACGTCCTTCTAAACCAAATGCGGTAGCTCAACAAAAAAGTAGTTGCTATACCGTACTGAGGAGACCTATGATGAACGGCATTTGGAGTGCAATTTTATATTCCCTTGCCGATTTATTCATCAAGCTGTTTGCTTCGCAAGTTTTAGGAAGCACGGTGGCTTATATTTGAATTCGAATTCGCCAGGTAGAAATCGTATGATTTCTCTTTTTGTTTGTTTTTTTTACTTTCCCCATTCTTTACATTTTTGTTTTTGTCTTACATTTTTTACATTGTCTTCACTTCCTCTCTAAACCATGGTGTTTTCTTTTTTGTAATGTTAGTGTTTGTTACTTTCCTCTCTCCAAGTGATTCTATTGCTGCGTTTATTATGTTATTTTTGAGTTTTTCCCAACTTATAACGATGTTATCGTGATCTAATATTTCATTCCCAGCGATCCTCTTTGATATTCTTTTTCTGTATAAGTATTCCGTGGATTCCGTATTTAGACCTTCGACTTTGATTATTGTTTGTGTTGGCGCCGCTCTTTTAGGTGTGAAGTATTTCAGGATGATTCTTATGTTACATAATACTAGGCCATGATCGCTACCTACATCTGCTGAGTTGAGGCATCTTACGTCGATTATTTTCGATGGATGTATATATCTGTTGATTATAATATAATCTATCATAGATCTTTGTCCAATGGTGTTATTAAATGTATATTTGTGTTAGTCTTTGTGGCCAAAAAATGTATTGTTTATTCTAAGTTCGCTAATAAAATTAATTTTAATATAATGATTAATACTGATATAATACATAGCAATATTGTTCTGAAGCTATTTTCTTATGGCATTTTAAAGTAATTACTATTTAAATGGGAATAAGTCACAATTACCTTCTGCCACAAGCCTTTAATTGTGGCTTATTTCCATTTAAATAGTAATTAATACATAGCAAGAGATAAACTTACGAAAACATGTAATTAAGAAGACCTTCTCCGCGAAGGTATACAGGCAAATAAATTTGTACAATAAAATTGTAAATAAAAAGTCTGTACCTAATGGAGGTGGTGGCGGTGGTCCAATTGTAGAGGGCGGTGTTGGACTCAAAGGAGTACTCAGTGATTGCTTCCTACTGGGACTTTCGATCCGGTGTTGGCAGTGACAGAAGAACTTCGATTGCGTACTGGGAGCTCTCAGAAGCCTTGCTGAGTCTTCACGATTTTCTAGTAGAGTGGCGCGATGTACAAGTCGTTCTGCAGTGTCCCATATGATGTCGCTAATCGGTTCTTTAGGATCGATACGCAACAGGTGCTGAAGAATACTAAGAAAAGGAATTTCTTGAGGTGTTTCAGCTACCTAAAATATATAACAAATGTGGATAGATAATTTAGTAAAGATATGCTAAATAAATTATAATTAGAATTTATTATTATAAAAAAAATTATATTTTCTGTCTTAATAGGCATCTTTGCCTTTAATGTTTTTTAGTTTTATATTTGTATCCATATAAGGTTAGTGGAATAGATAAATCTGGGTATAAGACAGGGATGCATATTGTCGCTCATATTGTTTTTTATTTGTATTTTAAATTCTTATCTAAAAAAGCCCCTTAAAAAATTAACCAAAGCTTTAAAGTGAAAAGTGTTAAAATACCGAGTATGAGATGTGCTGAGGATACTATACTAGTAACAGATAAACATTATTAAAGGCCTTTTTGGATCGATTGAGTAAGACATGTGAGGATTTTGGACTGTGAGTCAAAGAAAAGAAAACCACAAGCACAAATTAACATTGTAATTCAAAGAAAACAGAATGTTATCATATCTTTGTCTCGACAATTCTTTGTGGATCCTGGCCAGCTCTAAGCTTCGTTGCCATTCTAATTGGTTTATGGCGACCTGTTCCGAACCCCTGACCCCAGAGTAAATGTTCATAACCAAAACTCTTTATTTATTCTTCAAACAATTAAAAAGAAACAACATTTCCAACTTGTTATGGGACAAATACACACAAATTAGAAATGTGTGGAGAGGTTTTTAAAATCTCCGATCATTGTGACGTCAGACTTAGGTAGTCCATTACTACGTGGTGGTTTGTACCAAGTCTTTATAAATGCACTTCGTTCCATTACTAAACTATCCATTAGAATTTGCTGTAACAGTTTTCTGTATGACAATGACAATTAGTAGTTTTCTCTTTTTTCCTTAGTCTTATATTCTTTTTCAAATAGTAACCGAACTATACTTTTTTCTAAGTTTTAATGTTTTCATATAGATAAATTTGCTTTTAGCTATATAAAGAAACAATAATATACATACCTGTTTGAGAATTGCGTAAAAAACGTCCAAAGGCGAATTGAGATCTACCCCATGTGGTCCCTGGAGACTTTGAGCGTCGTCACTTTCTCGTTGCTCATCGAAAACGTCCAACTGGACAGCTAGTTCTGGTTCCGCCTCGGCACATTTCCTATAAAATACATATTTCATATCTAAGTAGCTCGAAAAATATTATGTAAAATTTTTATTTTTGCTAGTTACCGATACAAGAATTATTATTTGTATCGGTGAAGTTTCCAAGAAGGAGGGGTTCTGAATTGAGTAGGGGCTCTTCAGTACTTCTTGGAAAACACACTCGGAGGGGGGTAGTTCTCATCCTCAACACGGCGAGTCCCAATGACTGATAGGGAACGCCCTACAAATATGTGAGACAGGTGTGAATAAGGCTTTGCCAAATAAACACCCGCGGATCAACTGAGAGCATGGCATAGGGCAGCAGCTATATCATTACAGGATCGGAGCGGCAGAGAAAAATCTCTTTACCGATCTCATACTAAATAATCACAGGCGGTAATTATACCACATTAAAGATCCGTAAGGATATCCTCAGGAAACCATAATGGCTGAAAATCCAAACGGCCCTCAGTCCCGGACACCCCTTAAGTGGGGAGAGGGTGCTAAGAATCCCCCGGTCAGCCAATAATGTCCTAAAAGTAAAAAGGATCGGTACGTGAAACATTCGAAACATGTACCAAGCAGGCAAAGCAACAAATACTATTCAAGAAATGACTCGCCTGAAGATAGATATTTTAGGATGCAGTCAAGTTCGATGGCCAAATTCTGGAATAAGAATTATAGACGAACACCATATCTACTATTCTGGAGACGACACAACAAGAAAAACAAGAAATAGAAATGGCGTAGCGATAATAATAAAAAGAGAAATAGCTAAAGCAGTAATAGGATTTACGCCCATATCAGACAGAGTTGTGCTATTAAAAATTAACTCATGTCCCTCTAATATAAACATCATTTAGGTCTATGCACCGATATCAGAAAACTAAATGAAGAAACTCAACTAAAGAAGAAAAAGAAAATTTCTATCAGACTCTAGAAGACTCTTTAAAACTGACCAAAAAACATGAACTTACCATTAATCATGAGCGATTTCAATGCTAAAATACGACAAGGTTCAGTCGGGAATGTCGTAGGGTCATATGATCTTGGCATAAGATACAAAAGAAGAGAAAAACTAATTCAGTTCTGCCAAGAGACGGATATGGTTGTAAAGAATACTCTTTTTAAATTATATCTAAGAAGACTTTATACATAGAAAAACCAAATTGATTTTATCAACATAAACAAAAGGTTTAAAATTCTATCACCCCAACAAAAACATATTTAGGCGCAGATGTCTTCTCAGATCATAGTCTATTGGTTGCAAATATCAACACACGACTCAAAATAATTTATAATGCATTTTTAGGTGTCTCTATTTGAACTATTTGCGATTAAACAAAATAGAAAAAAATTGCTCCATTGGAAGCCTTAACATCCAGTTTTCGTTAACCTAGTATTCTGGTTAAATAGAAGAATTAGAACATAGACATGATTACTTTAATATGTACAAGAAGGTGAAAGAATTTTCATTCATCCACAAAAAACAACATTGCCCACTGGTAAATAACAACGGAGAGTTAATTCATAACACCAAAGATAAAATAGAAGAATGGGAAAAATTTATACAACAGCTGTTCCGAGATGAAAGAATAGACATTACAATAAATAATGTTACTAAAAGCCCACCAATTCTAAAAGTCGAAGTGGAATATGCCATTAAACAATTAAAGACCAACAAAAGCCCTGGACCTGATGAAGTTTATCCTGAAATACTTAAATTGATCGAAAGTAATAACATTGATTTGTTAGTAATTTTGTTTAATACAATCTACGATGCTGGGGAAATACCAGAGGAATGGTTAGAATCTATTTTTATTCCCATTCCAAAACAAGCTAACTCCAGGCGATGCGCAGATTTTAGATTAATAAGTCTTATGAGCCAAGTGCTTAAAATTCTATTAAAAATACTTCACAATAGGGTATACAAAAGGTGTGAAAAAGAAGTTGGATACGATCAATTTGGATTCAGAGCCGGAATGGGGACCAGAGAGGCCTTGTTTTCACTACAAGTACTGCTGCAGAAGTGTTACGACCAACAAAAGGATGTCTTTCTATGTTTTGTAGACTTTGAAAAGGCATTTGATCGCGTAAACCATAATAAAATGGTAAATTCCTTGCAGAGCATCAACTTGGATAGTAAAGATCTCCGATTAATTAAGAACTTATATTGGAGGCAAAGTGCCAAGATTAGGATCGACGATCATACATCTAGAAATATTAGTATAAATAAAGGAGTAAGGCAAGGATGCATACTATCCCCTATGCTGTTCAATCTTTACTCGGAACTACTATTCAAGCAAGCCTTGGAAAACCTTTCCACAGGAATAAAAATTAATGGAGAACCAATATCTAGCATAAGATATGCAGATGACACTGTCCTACTGGCTGATACAGACACAAACTTACAGGGGGTTATAGACCACCTTAAGGATGCTTGTCGAGAGTTTGGAATGAAGATCAACGAAAAAAAAAACAAAAGTAATGGTGGTTCAAAGAAAACAGAATATCCCCTTACCTATAAAAATAAATGGGAATATTTTAGAACAGGTAAACCAATACAAATACCTTAGCTGTTGGATTAATTACAAGCTGGACCCAGAACAAGAAATTAAAGCGAGAATTGCTCAAGCTAGGGATAGTTTCTTTAAGATGCGCGTTCTATTCTGCGATACACATATAAATATTAAATTGAGATTAAAACTTGTAAAATGTTTTATCTGGTCTGTTCTTCTCTACGGAGTCGAAACGTGGACTTTAAAAATAAAGAGCCTGAATAGAATCGAGGCATTTGAAATGTGGGTGTACCGTAGAATTTTAAAAATTCCTTGGACAGCACGAAAAACAAATGAAGAAGTACTAGCTAGACTCAATTTAGAAAAAGAACTATTGAGAACAGTCAAAAAAAGAAAAACCAGTTATTTAGGGCATTTGTTGCGCAACGAGAAATACTACATCCCTCACTTGATAATAAAAGGCAAAATAGAAGGAAAGCGAGGAATTGGAAGAAAAAAATTGTCCTGGTTACGTAATATCAGAAACTGGACAGGACTTGTATTTGAGGAACTCTTAAGAGCAGCTGAAGATAGACAAACGTTTGCCACCATAACCGCTAACCTCCATTGATGGAGACGGCACTTAAAGAAGAAGTATTCTGGTATTTTTTACCCGCAATACCGATCGTTTTTATCGAGAATATATCTCAGGAATCACTTCCGGTAATTTAACTTTTTTTCTTTTAACTAAATCTACTTGTCGAGTCTTTTCCAACGCTGTGTTCTGAAAGTAATTTAAACTATCAATTATTAAGATATTCTTTTTATTTATAAGCCAAAAAATAGCCTCTCCGTGTAGCTTCTCCTATCCAAATGTCAACCTCACCTGTCCGTGTGATGATCTTGATTATGGTCATTCCGTGTATCCTACTAGATAACAAATGAGGCTCTGACGTCATAGTGATTCCGTTATAAGCAATCCCTTACTTACTGACCAACGGCTTAGGGCGAATAAGTTGGCGAATGGTAGGGCATTCTTTTATCCTGGGGTTGAGAAATCGGCCCCGAAGGCGGATGAATCAACAAATAATGATCAACGGCATAAGAATGCAAAAGGCAAAGGGGAACCATTGCATTAACGGCTCATAGAGCACCCCCAGGAAAATCACCATATAATTGACACTGCAATTGCAAACCGTTACTAATCATGGAAAGCGGAGGACAAGATTCGGCAAGAGAGGAGAAACAAATTTATACCATGAGACCTCTCAGGTCGTAAACATGCAAAATCTTAGTGAAGAAATCCTAAAAATAAAGAAATCTAATTTTAGAATGTACACATGGAATGCTAGAAGTCTATTTCCGGCTGGGAAACTTGACAACGCAATTCAAGAAACGAAAAGAATGAAAATAGACCTACTGGGAAGCAGCAAAATGAGATGGCCAGTGTCAGGATCATATAAAAAGGACGGAAGTGTATTATATTATTCCGGTAACAGCACAGAAGACTATCACAAAAATGGTGTAGGTATATTAGTAACATCAGAACTGAGTAAATATATGACCAATTTCTTACCAGTCTCGGATAGAATAATATTACTCCAAATAAATACTCAACCATTTAAAACTAATATACTTTAAATCTATGCCCCGACTGCAGAGAAAATATGACGATGAAGTCGAGAAGTTGTTTGATCACCACCAAGACATTTTACAGAAACTTAATAAACACGAAATTTTATATATTATAGGCGACTTCTATGCAAAAATTTGGGAAGATCAATGTGGTCGGACTGTAGGGCCTTATAGTCTAGGACAACCTTACGATCGAGATTGTATGAATTTTGCAAAGAAAACGATATGATCATTGCAAACACCTGGTATAAACTACCCAAGCGACGACTATACTTTTGGAATCCCGAAATCACCTCGAATTCTCCAATAAAATCAACGAAATCTCTACAAACAATGATTATAGAAAAAACTTAATCAAGTAAAATAAATGGATGACAGACGACATCTTGAAATTAATGGAACAACGTCGACTGATAAAATCTAATGAAACAGACTATAGTAACATATTTAAAAAACGAGTTCCCTCTGTACTCGTTGACAATAATAACAAAATTATTGTAAAGGAGCACGAAATAAGAAAAGAATGGTATCTGTATATATCAGAGTTGTTTGAAGATGACAGGAATAGTATTGCAGAATTCTACCAAAGCTGTACAGACTGAAATTATGAAATGCGAGGTATAAAACGCTATAAATAACGCTAAAATCAGAAAAGCTTGTGGTCCAGATGATACACCAACTGAGTTGCTGAAACTAATAGAGGATGATAACATAAAAGTAGTAGTAAGACTTCTTTGTCGCAAAATCCATCTTTGTCGCAATATCTAAAAAACACAATGCGAGAAAATGCTCAGAATATCTATTAATTAGCCTAATGAGCCATAATCTTAAAATTTTCCTAAGAATACTTCACAACAGAATTAGATATATCTTGAAGATACCCAATTTGGTTTTAGAAATGCTATGGGAACCAGGGAGGCACTCTTTGCGCTTAACATCCTATTACAAAAATGCCGTGAGAAAGTTGAGAAAGTTCACAAAATGACATATTTGGAAACTGTGATAACGGAACAACAAGATCCAGACATAGAATAGCAATGACTAAAAATACTTTTATAAAAATGAAGTCATTTCTTTGCAATAATCATCTCAGTTTAGAACTAAGACAAAGAATGGTTAAGTGCTATGTTTGGTCCGTACTTTTGTATAGTTCAGAAGTATGGACGCTAATAGTATCGATCATGAACAAAATTGAAGCACTGGAAATGTGGGTTCATAGACGAATGCTGAAGATACCTTGGACAGCAAGAAAAACTAATGAAGGAGTACTAACGAGCGTCAACAAAGATAGAGAACTACGAAAGACTGTTAAACATCGAAAAACGTCTTATCTGGGACATATAGTAAAGATAAGTCGATATAAAATATTACAACTGATCCTTAAAGGCAAAATAGAGGGCCGTAGAGGTGTAGGAAGTGTAATGTATTGGCCATGTAATTATAAACCCCACTTGCGACGCTCATGTATTGCTAATTATCGCATTATATTTCAATTAGGTTCATCATCTTTGGCTCGACAATCCTCTGTGGATCTTGGTCTGCTCTAAAATTCGTGGCCATTCTGTTCGGTTTTTGGCAACATGTTGCCATCTTCTGATTTTTAATATTCGTAAGTCGGTTTCAACTCCATCTAACCACCTAATTCGCGGTCGGCCTTTGCTTCTTTTTCCTATAGGTGTTCCTGTGGTTAGCTTTTTAGCAATCGTATTTTCTGGTATTAGTATTATGTGTCTAGCTCATCTAAGTCGCTGTATTTTAATGAACGTTATGACATCTGGCTCATCAAAGAGCTGATACAATTCAATATTCAAATACAAAAATATTCCCAAAAGTCTTTCGCCTTTCTGCGTTAGAGTCCATGTTTCTGCTCCATATGTGAGGACCGGCCTCAGCAATGTTTTGTATATAATAATTTTAGTTCTTCTTTGAATGTTTCTTGAGTGGAAATGCTTTTGAAGTCCATAGTATGCCCTATTTGTAAGATTTATTCGTCTTTTGATTATTTCTTCGCTTGTTTTATTGGTAGCAGTCAATAGCGACCCAAGGTATGTGAAGTTGTCAACACGTCCAAAGGTATGACTTCCAAAGACTGCCTTTCGTTCCTCATTTGCTATCGGATCCTTTGTAACCAACATGTACTTGGTTTTGTCTTCGTTGATGACTAGACCGACCTGTTTCGCAGCTGTTTCCAATTCTAGGAGATATTGCTCAACATCTCGCTTGCTACGCCCTACTATATCAATGTCATCAGCATATTAAGACTTGTATCGATATATTGTAAATAGTACCGCCATCCCTAATTCGTGTATCTCGGACTGCCTTTTCTAAGGCAATATTAAATATGTAGGAGGTAAGCCAGAGCATCCCCTTGTCTGAGTCCATCCTTTATCTCAAAGGATCTAGAACTCTCTCCCTGTATTCTAACAGTGGCTTCTAAGTTAGACATTGTCATTCTCGTTAGTTGGATAAGTTTCTCTAGTATACCAAACTCATGCATTGATGGTATAGCACTGTTCTCTTGACACGGTCGTATGCGGCCTTGAAGTCGACGAATAGGTGGTGGGTTTCAATATTGAATTCTAATGTTTTCTCGAGAATCTGTCTTATTGAATGAATTTGGTCAATTGTTGATTTTTCTGGAGTGAATCCAGCTTAATATTTACCAACTATGCCCACTGTGTAAACTTGCAGCCTTTCGTAGAGAATATTTGCTAGTATTTTGTAAGCAGTTGTTAACAGGGTTATACCTCTTTAGTTGTCACACTGGAGCTGGTCACCTTTTTTATGTAACGGGCATATCACGCCTTGAGACCATTCACAAGGTATGGTCTCATTATGCCAAACAAAAAGTAAAAGCCTATGCAGTGTCTGTAGTAGGGCACCGCCACCATTCTTGTAGAGCTCACTGTAGATTTGATCAACTCCTGGTGATTTATTATTTTTAAGCTTAGTAATGGCTTGAGCAACGTCTTCGATGGTAGGTGGTCTTTCGTTTGGGTTGAAAGGATTCCAATCATTTCGATTTGCTAGGGTGTTATCTGCTTCTTCGATATGATGGCCATTAAATTTTGCATCGAAAAATTCAACCCATCTGTTTAGGATTGAGGCCTTATCATTTAGGATGTTTCCTTCTATATCCTTACAGCTCCTTACTCTTGGCTTAAACTCTTTGCGCATTTTGTTTAGATTTCTGTAGAACTTTCTAGTTTTATTTTGTTTATTTTGATTTCTTAGCCATTCTGTGCTTTCCAACTGCTTTTGCTCAAATTGTCTTTTTTTTCTTCTATGTAATCGTTTTTCTTCTCTTCTTAGGGTCCGGTATTCTTCCTTTGCTCTTCTTGTGCATCCAGCTTGATTTGTCTTTAGGTATGCACTGTTTTTGTTATCTGTTGCAATATCAATTAGGGTATAGGTAAAATAATTAACAGTTGTGTTTAATATGTAGTCAAATAAAGATTTGTTTTGGGTTCATCCAAGTATTTTTGTATCGAACATTTTAGGAAGGAAACTGGTTTCTTGGTTGAGCAACATTCGTGAATTGACTCGGATATCAAATGCGGGACAATTATTCCAGATTGCAGAAGATCGAGAAGCCTTCGCAATGGTGATCGCCAACGTCGGATAATTTTGATATGGCACGCGAAGAAGAAGATTATATGGTCTAGTATTGCAAGATTTTGAAGAATTTAATTTTTTTTTAAATTGATTGCAAAATTAATATACGAAATCTATTAAATTGATTTTAAAGAAAATTGCAGGGCTGTTTTATTATGTTATAAAGATTTTTTAGGCGAATTACGAAGGTCCTATGTCCAATCTAAGTGGTTAAAAATCATTGAATAAGAAAAGGCTTGTGTATTTATTGCTAATTTGCAGCAAGGCTAATAAATAAAAACAGTTTTAACCAGAAAATTCAATTATCGATATTTTATTTTTATTAATTATTATTACTGAAGTTATCACACAACTTTTTCTGCAAAAATCTGAAAGCCACCTCAAAACAGATCCGCCTGGTCTAATAAGGATTTTTTATTTTTGCATCATCGAACCTGCTATTTATCTTTTCTAATGTTTTGACATTGTAAAAATTTGCAACTAACATATACATAACTAACATAATATGCATTTACACAACAATATTTGTCTAATGTAAATTTGTTCAAGTGAAACGTACTAAAATATTGACTAAACACGTACATTATAGCATATTTCTAGACGATAAGCTAGCAAGTTGAAATATTCTTGGAAGGTAAACGAATGTACATACCTGAGATTGTTCAGCACCGGAAGTAGATGACATCCTGTAAAAATAAAAGTCATGAATATTAAGTTGATGCACAATGCATTTCTAATTGTTAGGGGAGGAAGTATGATTATCGATTACCTTTTATAACATGGAAGTATTTAAAATTTAATGACTATATGAATGACTACTATAAAAAAATTAAACAAAATTACAATGTTTCCGAATTCGAAAACAAACCATGATTAAGATAACTACTAAAAATTGAAACCTTATAGTAAACCTAGAATATATTAAAATATCTAAAAAAAACTACTAGAAAGTGCCCTGAAATAATATATCAACACCAAGATAAATTTTTTCGTAATCAAACGCAACAAAGCTACATTTTTTCTTTCCTTTTTCTTTTCCAAAAAATTCATAATAACAAATATTGACAACATTAACATTACTTTAAACCTAAAGGTCGTGAGTTCGAATCTCATCTGAGTGGAGAAAATTTCGTTTATTAAAAATTAATGGATGATAATAATTTCTATCCTTATGCGATCGGTACTCACCGGAGGGACCGCAGACGTTCGCATACAATTAGCGTCTCTTAGCAAAGACAATGACGTCGACTTTGCTAAGTATCAAGACAATTACTCTACACACACACACACTACACTAGGTACCTGACTGTACCATGCCAATGATCTTAGTTGTCGAGGCATTAACTCAATAATAAAAAAAAAACATTAACATTAATTATGTGTCAACAACAAAGACACAAATCGCTTTATTTTATCTAAAAATGATTAACAAACCAAATACAATATGCAACATAAAAAATGATTAATTTGTCAATTTGACATTAGTTACATTCGCTTACTTAATTTAATAAATTGTCCTTTTATTGTTTATTAAGGTCGTTCGCGAAATTACTCCTTCAATATCATTTAGTTGCAGCAAACAAAGTCTTTGTACAGCTCTCTTGACTATTCTACAAAAGAAGTTCTAACAATACCAACTCTTACTAAATCATCGGAAACCAGATATAGCTCGGTAATACGTCTTATTCTCCAATGCAGAGGTCTCGTCAATTAATACAACTAACCAACCCACCTTGATAAAATTGGTATTTTCGCGCCATATTGATCTTTGCTGAAGCAGCTTAATTTCTGTAGTAGCTGATATGGGGTAAGTATTTTATCAGGTAAATTGGTGATATAGATATGAAAGAGGGACTAATGAACGTAACTTTATTCAACGTTAAATGGTAGGTAATTGCTTACTAGTCTTACAAGATGAAATTTGGCCCTCTTTATCTCGGCCTTCACCACGTGCCCAATTTTACCATTAAAATACATTGTCAAACATATTGGCATAATTTATATATATTTTTTTACCAGACAGCACCCTAATATTGGCAATTTATATTTTCAGCATTTAGTTAGCGTGATCTGGAGATCTGACGATGCATAGAAAATTCTATTATGCGAAACTGGTCGTCAAAGATAGAATAAATTAATTTTGAGTAACAGATCTGCCCTTCCAGCGAATATCAATACCACCTTTTCTGTAACTGAAGTACAAATTCTACAATATATTGGCATACTGTTATACATGTCTTTGTACAGGTATCTACGTTTAGAAAGCTATTAGAGCACCAAAAAGTATTTATGTTTTGCTGACGCACAACAACGTGCAAAAAAGACGAACCAGGATATAATCCTTTGTTTTGTATCAAATCAATTTTATAGAAAATAAATAAACGTTCTGATTATGTACCAAAGACACCACGTCTTTGCGTCAATAAGAAAATGTGTTCAACAAAAATTCATCACCATTTACGCCAAAACATGCCTAATAAACCCCAAAAATGGATAATAAAATTATTTGTCCTATGCGATTCGTACTGATCCTCCTACAGATTTAAAATTTACAATGGAGCTGATGAGAACGTCATCCTACCAGAAAATCCTGATCTTGGTGCAGCGTCAAATATAGTTATTCGATTGTCTCAGACTACACCTGACTTCAAAAATTACATTCTCTACTTCGATAACTTTTACATTTCGTTGTAACTGCTAGTGTATCTTCGTGCACGGGGTATTTATTCGTTGCGAACTATTAAAGCTTATCGAATTATTAACTGTAAATTACCTGTCAATAAAGATAAGCAACTGACCAAAGAAGAAAGGGGATATACTGTGGAATATAAAGGGATGGCACATGGTATTGATCCAAGTACTATGTTTTGGAAAGATACAAAAAATGTACGTCTAGATTCCACTTATGTAGGGCAGCAGCCATTCAAACGAGCACTTAATCAACAACAACTAAACAAAACAGTTCGTTATGATATAAAAAAGCGGTATATTGACGTGAACTGTACACAGATCATCAAAGAATACAACAGTCATATGGGTGGTGTTGATGAACGGTCTAATCCACAAATCACGTTATTAGTGGTCTGTGGTCTAATCGGCAGATACCACACTCGACTTAAGACTCGCAAAACCCATGTTACGAATATTTTATCACCTGATTTACATGAGAGTAACCAATGCCTATCTTCTACATTGTAGAATTCATCTACAGTCATCTAAAAAGATCAAATTTCCAATATTTCGCAAGCAAATAGTTGAGGGTCTCTGCAAATACGCACCAGTCCGTACTGTAGGAAGACCTCCAAATTGGACAGCCCAGCCTAATATGTCTCGGAGTGGAACAAACTCACTTGGTTCACCAGATGATGTGCGATATGTCGGTATAGATCATGATCTAGATATGCATAGCAAAACCGGAAAGAGAAGATGTAAATATTGTAAGAAGTCTGATGCTTAAGTGTATTGCATGAAGTGCGGTCCGAATTTATGCATTACACCGGAAGAAACTGTGTTTATGACTTCTATCATAAATAGTTAATATATTTTTATTTTTTGTATTGGTTTATTGTCTTACTTTTCTTTATGCTTTTGTTTTTATTTTAACAATAAAAATGATTATTTTGTTATTCTATTCAATTAAAATCTCTTCTAATTTTTTACATCTAAACCGTTATGATCGTCTTGAGACTTTCTACCTTCTTTCTTATCTGGAGGTCAAACTATAATAGATATTTGAAAAAATGAACATGAAATTAATTCTAGCACTCACATTACCCTAATTAGAAATTATCAGATATTTTAAACGATTTGAAAAAAATAAATGGTTAGACGTTTAAACAAACAACTTATTGACAGGTAAACATCTCTAATCAAAATGTATAAGTGTTCACAACGACACTATTTGTACTATTAATCAAACTTAGGGGTTATTGCCCATTATGGCTCAGTTCTTTTTTTGTTAAGAATTAAAGTCAGTGAAGATAAGGGCACAGGCATTAATCACCTTTTTTAATATTATATTAAATAGTACTTATTTTATCTGGAACAGAACGTTGAATCTTTAAAAGCACTGTAGAGTTGGGTGACTTGACTACAATTTGGACATTAATTCAGAGTAATACGTGCCATACTGATAAATCTATTACAAAAGAAAAAATATGGTATTATGCCACTTTTGTCAAAGAAAAGAACCTATATAAAATTTTTATCGAAAAACAAAAAAAAAAAGTATAAAAAAAAATAGAAACAGTTTTTCTCAACCTTGCCTGTTGGGTGACTTGAAAATGTAAGCAAAAATCAATGTAAATGGCAAGTAAAGCTGTTCTGTAGGTGATTTGACATCAAATTTAACTTATAAAAAAATATGTTACTATTGTACAGGGTGAAATAAACCTTTGAGACCACTTACTTCAAAACATTTATTCTGAAAAAATATAAAAATAACAAATTAAAATATTCTCAACAAGTTTACATTGTATTAGACTTAAATCTTAGTTAATAATATTTTTAGTTGTAGTTACCTAACCTATTTGTTCTTCTTCTTCTTCTTCTTCTTCCTTTATTGGGTAATATCTCAGGGGATAATTTGCCCAGCTAACACTAAATTGAAATTATTTTATATTGAATGAACACTATGTCGAAACTTCTTCTTCTTGGGCCAAACAGTTAGTATAGGAAAGTCTATTCAACACAGGATAAAACTTTTCTCGCTTGGAGGAACAACCAGTCTTTTTCTGCATAGTCTTTTTTGATGAGGTCCTCAGAGTTCCACAGCAAACTCTTCTGCAGCTATCTACTTAATTCAATAGCTACTTTACTGTGGACTGTCCAAGTTCCCCTTTTTTCTTTTTTTCTACGAACGGATGATAGAGAACCCAGGTGGAAAAAGAGAGAATAATTTGTAAGTTTGTGTTATAGTAGATAAGATAGGAATATATAATTATAGATTGATTTTGGCTAGATTAAGAAAAGTAATCAATAAATTTAGTCTTTGAGGATTAAGATTGGATAGGAAAGAGCATATCTCTATAGGACTTTGTAGTTTTGTTTTAACCAATTCTTTGTAGAGGTCAAAATTTGGAGAAACGTTTATTGGACACTCTAGGATAATATGATTCAGAGATCCAATTTGACCACATTCACAGTACGGGTTGTCCTGAATACCTATGCGGAATAAATGAACGGGAGTGGAACAATGTCCTGTTCTCATTCTAATTACTGTGGTGATATGCCTTCTGTCTTTATAAGGAAATTGATTGAACCATGGTGATTTGTTCCATGTATTGACTATTTTTCTATAAAACGACCCTTTTGATCTATTTGAATTCCATTCTTGTGCCCATAGAGTCCAAATTAGCTTTTTAATATAAAATAAGTAGTTTGAATAATGCAATTTAACTTTGGCTGGCATTTTTAGTAATCTTCCTATGTTTGCCAATTTGTCTGCAACACAATTGCCCTTAATATCAGAATGCCCTGGAATCCAAGCCAAAATAATACTGATGTTCTGTTGATTGGTTTCTATAATGCCCCTTTTGGTCATGATAGAGGTATGTTCAGTTTCCATTGAGTAAGATGTTTTCCCTATCTTTTGGATAGCACTCTTAGAATCAGACAAGATTAAGGCCCTCTTGATATCCTTCTCCAAGACAAATTGAACCGCATGATTACTTGCAATAATCTCTGC